ATATAAAATAGTATAACTTACCCTGAGGTTGTAAAACCAGTTGAGAACTGACATCGGGCTAAAATATAATGATATACTGTTCATGATTAATACAACTGTTTGTGATATTCAATATTTTGTAATACAGATCTTTCATCTTTTTGTTATTTTCTATTATTTTATTTTTTTAAGAGAAACATGAATAAAAAACATAAACAAATGTTAGCTTGTAGTTTATGACCACCAGAGGGCAGTATTCAAATTCTCAAAGAAACCAAGATGTATTCACAGTCATATCCAGTGAACTGGGAAACTATATTTAATTTATCTAAATATATCTAGTTTCTGATTCATTTAGAAGTTTAAACACTTGGGCATAACAATTTGCCTGGCTTCAGAATAAATCAAATATTTTGGAAGTTAATAATAATAACAATAATAAAACAGCACTTATAATTCGCCATCTATCTAGTGTGCTATTCCTAGGTCCAGTGACTCTGACGATAAGAAAAAGTATTTACTATTTTAATATTTGATGGAAAAGCAAAACAGTGATGCTAAATTTTACAAATTACAAAGTCAAAAATTATTAAATATTGTTGTAACTGCAAATTTATAAATAAAATTGCAACAAAATCTAATTATCTAATATCCTTACTTTCTAAATTTTTCTCTCTTTCCTTTATTTTATTCTCTACTTCTTTCTTTCCTTTCATTACTATACCTTGTACTTTCTTTTTGATCTACCCCTTTTTTCAGTCTTTCGTTTCATTTCTTTGTACTTTTTCTATTGTTAATGTTTTTATCTTATTAACTTTTGACTAATTTCACGATGACTTTGTACAAATATCTTTTTATGATATTTTTACTTGGCAATTCAGCACAAGGATGCTGCAAGTTTTGTGTTATTCTCCTATCTTTCATACTTTTATGCTAATTTAGTTTATGTTCTCATTGGTATCGGAGAGCCACTAGACAGTGATTCAGTTCACTTTTTGGCAATCCCGTCCGTCCAATTGAATGTTGTTTTTTCCTCTCTCTCATATTTTGTGTTTGTCAGTTTTAATGTTCTTTGGACCAAATAAATGAAATGAAATAAAAAAAAATGCTCATCACTCACCCAAAGATGTTTTGCCTGATTGTACAATGGCTTACTGAAAGTAACCATATACCTATTAAACACAGGAAATACAAATAATTATTATTAACTGTAACAGATCCAATACTGAGCACATCACAACGACAGCATCAGCAGTGTTGGCGCCGGCGGAAGCAGGGGGAATTTTTCCCCCATCAGCCTGGACCTCCTGTCGTCCAACGACGACGTCGGTTCAAAAATAATAATTTTCATATCCAAACAACGTTATTTTGACTGCCAATCCCTAATATTGTGGTCTAAAAGCACATTTTGCAATATACTAAACCATAAAAACTCTGCCCATGAACGCTACAAGGGAGTTTTTATTCCAGGCCGTCGACCAAGGCTTCACCAGCCACTTGGATCAGACCCTTCTGTCGGACTTATCGGACCACTAGCCAGGAAACTTCTGGAGCCACCATCGAGCATCAGCAAGGGCAGGAGGATAAAACCCTTGTTGATCTAGCCAAGCCTACATTGGCCATAAATAGTTGAACCAAAACAAGGGAAACAATAATATAAATACGTGCTAAATAAAACATATCAGAGCAGCACAAAGTGGCCTAAAATTACCCAGTACCCACCAGGACCTTGCCCCTAAACCTTACTGGTCTCCATCAGAAACTGTCAGACTCAGTCGGACACCTTTTCATTTTGTCTCCACGACTGAAAAATCTTAGTGCACAATGCATCATTTAATGAGTCATCAATCACAAATATAATCCATATTATTTGAAATTACCAGTACACTCGCTTTGAAGGACTTACTTGGCTTTGTGAACTACACTTGTCATAACTCTCATCTTGCTTTCAATTTTGAAATGCTCATTCAAATCTGTGCCTCCAAACACAAGTGCAAAGGGTAGAGTGCATTCTAATACAAAAAAAACAAACCAAAAACTAAAGCTAAGAACAATAAAGATATAAGACAAGAATGCGACTCCACTGTCACCAAATAGATGATGATGATAAAGATATTTAGTATAGTTATGAGGATGGTGGTGATAAAAACGAAGTTGATGATGCTAAATACGACGATGACAATGATGACGATGACAACGATTTTCAAGCAAACCCAAAATAAGGAGAAATGACAAACCCTGTAGCAATGCACCGCTGCGGTATGCATGTACGGCCAGAATACAGTCTGGCTCGGAGGTTTTGAGGTGTTCGTTAAACTTGGATGAACTTTCAAATTGATAACAATCTTGAAGATCAACTTCATATCCACTAGCAATCAGATAATTCCTATCACAAAATAAAAAAAGAAAATTATATTTAATTAATCACTCCATGACAATACACCAGATAGATTTTTTTTCTTAAAATAAAACTAAAAGACTGTAGGCATTTGTTCCCATAGTGAAGCACAAAAAGAGCTGTGTTATATGAAAATTTAAAAAAAAAAATATTATTATACAGTAGGCCTAATTTATGACATATAACTTTATAACATATAATACACATTTCTTTACTTGAAACATATTGATTTACTTTATTCTGTGTGAGGAGGTGTTATTGCCCGTCTGTAGGAGAAGTGGGGACAACAGTAGCACCCTCATGACAACCTGGTGGAGCTTTTCACCTTCATCATCTTTTCATTCAAGTTGAAAAAGTAACTGAAAGATGAACTTTACAGTAAATATAATAATAATTATCAAACTATATAAACTACTAGGCCTACGTTAATGTAACCTAATCACAATTAAATAAAACATTACCATTGATGGCAAAGCCATCTTAGAACATTATTTGTGTATTTGTATGGAAGAAGTGTATGGCATTAATAATTTTTAAAAATAGACTGTGCGCTTGGACATTTCACATTTAGTTGTTGGCGGTCGATTTTGTTTAATAATAGGAGCAGGAGGGAGCCAGAAAACCATAATACTCTGTGACTTAATTAAAAAGGACATAAAGCTGGTGTAGGCCTAGGCCTACGTACAAATTCAATGCACCAACTAAACAGTTCAGGCAGGGCAGGGTAAAGATGTTCTGGGCAAGCAATACTAGGCTACAGTAGCAGAGGGGGCGTGTCCATAACAGTTCTACTGTATGTAGGCCTCTCACTAACTGGGTGGAAGTTGGCTAGGACTCGTGGCCTAAGATTACCTAGTTAGTTGAGGGCCTACAACCTGTTCCTCCCCCGGTACCACAAATCCTAGCCTCTAGGACCTTACTATCGCATTTCTAATTAGCAAATGATTTAATAAATCCTACCTTGGCATAGCCCTACGCTAGTCCTGGCCTACCTGAGCTACGACCTACCCCTACCTACCAAGAAAAAGTGAACAAAACTAACGTACCCACCTGTGATAGAAAACTTGCTCAGACCACCAGCGAGGTTGGACTCCACCACACTTTGCAAAGCCGCCAGGCTTTGCAAAACATTGCTTGGCTCTTCCATTTTTTGCATGGGGATATTTTTCTAAATGTAACATAGCGCCATTTTACATCAAATCAAGACAATTTGCGTCAACTATATTGGTAATTCGCAATATGCGAAATACTCTGATGGTTGAATTTTTATTTACATGGCTTTACAAAACATTTAGCTTGTTAGTTATATTTAATTACTAGGCTATTCCTGAATATTTCTTTTTTTGTGCATTAAAACATTTTCTTTCTTGTAATAATAATAATAATAATAATAATAATAATAATAATAATAATAATAATAATAATAATGTTCTATCGTTATTATTTGTACCACTAACGTGACACCAATATTATTTTATTATCGATATAATAGCCTCATGTCAAAACGTACACCTACTATACTTTCCAAATTACAATTAACATTTCACGGCGTTTATTGTATTGCTCCTCCTACGATATACCAGGGATATACCATGGAGGTATAAAATATTTTTATACCTCCATGGATATACTAAGTACTACCTGTATACAGTATTATTATTAGCACACGTTTGGTACCTCTGTATAGCGCCCTCTGCAGTTCGTCGTCGTCGTCCATAACCATAGGCCAAGTATTACCCAAGCCATAGGCGATGTGGGCCGGAGAAAAACGCCATATCCGTCAATGTAGAGGGGCCATATTCATAAAGTTCTTGCATCCCTGGAGGAGGCGGGGGTGCAATGTGTTTGCATACGCACCCTCCAACTCAATATAAATTGTTTTTTTTAGTTTAGATATTTCAAGTTACAAGGCTGAAATTGATTGTAACGGCTGGAACTTCTAAAATACAAACAGACCGGTTTACCCCTTGACCCCGCCAAGGATTCTAGGTGACCCCCATACACCAGTAGATCCATTTTTACACATCCCCACAATTTTGGATCCCTGATTTTTCATATTAGGCCTATCTTTACTAATTATTTATACCATATTGTTTACTTTATAAAATATTAAGTTGTTCGTTGGCCTTGTGTCGCTTTTTGTAGTGGTGACAGATTTATATTCAACATGCAAAATATACAATTAATGTATAATATTATTGAATCATAATATTACATTAAATTACGTTCTTATAACAAGGGAAAAGACCTATCTACTAAACGTCTATAGGGTTGTATTAATGCGTAGTAAAGAGAACGCATAATTGATTAATTCATAGAGGTGACGTCAGTCACCATCGTTACATTCTATGATATTTCAATAAACCGACAACTAAAAAACACGACCCAAGGAGAAAGATACTAGTATTAAAACGACTGTGTACATCTGAATGAATTTACATCAGTCAAGTATAGGCCTACTTGAGCTACGTAGCTCCTATGAGAAGCAAAACTCAAATATACGACTAAGCTTGCAAAAGTTTATGCTTTAAAAGTAATATTGGATTAGACCTAACATGAAAATGAACACTTTCCACAAAATTCAAGTCCTTATTAAATTACATTAACAAGCATGTTCTGTTCAATGAAAAAAATAATTAAATAATTAACATTAATTGATTAATTACTTCTGAAAAATTATTAAAGAACCTAGCTTAGACTTGCAGTTCGTCCTTTGATTGATTGCGGCGGCGCGCATGGATACGTACGCACCCACCCATGCAGCGCACGTACGTATTCATTAGAATCAATACGCAATACAATGACGTCACAAGTGCCACCTATCACGTATACATTGATTTTGTTCTTATTCGTCCTTCTGATATCAATGCTATTCTATTCACATTATCTGCAACAGCTGGAAAATGTCAAATGACTTCCATGCCGATGAACATAGCCTACTTGTTCGGTGATGCTCCGTGCTGTTATAAGCAATAAATGCGGAAACTATTTAGCGCAAACAAGTTTCACACCATCCAATCATAATTTCACAATTTAAAATATCTTGTAGTGCTTTACAGGGCCTACATTTTCAAAAAAGCATCCCCATTCGCGACCTTAAATCACCTGATTTCTAAATATAGATAGGCCTAAGCAGATGATCGAGAGCTAGTTGACACATGGTTGACAATCCTGCTTGTTGCGCACGTTACCGCTTTACCTCCCCGCATGAACTAATCATTACAAATTTATTACATTATCACATAAATCGACATGTACCGAACAGACGTGATTTAGGGCGCTAGCTACAAACAATTCTACGCTGTACTGTTCATGCATGTTTATTCATGCAAAGATCCAACCAAGCCATTTCACAAACAAAATTACAGTATATAAAAAGTAATTTATCCATGCATGTGTGCGTAACCACGGAGACCACTGGGTCTTTGGTTTTTCTACTGTTGCTTTCTTCTTTGTGTATCAGGTAGTGCGCTGTCTTTCACTTACATATAACATATATAACGCTAAATACCCTAATGTGCACGTCATAGAGACTCCGATACTTATCTACTACGGTATTCCAGCAGAACCTTAGACCCAAATTACAATAAATAACATTTTGCAGGGTAACCGTATAGGCCCTAGTTAATTAAGTCCACAACATGTAACCCGACCTCCTTTTTACAGAAGTCTTTAGGCCTCCTATATAGTTTTCAATTGCATTTTTAATACAAATTATGATGATTTGGTCTGACCACATTTAGCACGTCACAGTGGTACTGTACTTTGCACAATGGTAATAGGCCTAGTTGGGGAATTCAATAACCGTCTTCAGTCGCGATCTGGTTTGCAAAGTAACTGCATGAAGTCACGTTCATATTGTAACCAACACGGATCAAGCGACATTTTAGTCTGATCAGATTTCCAGTTTGATTCGTGAAAGTGAGCTACGATCTATAGTCATGATCGTGATTCATGTTATTGCCTTCTCCATAATTCCACCAATAAACATGGAGGTTCAATAACAAACATGTCATGATCTATCATGCTCTTTCATAAACATTTATTACAGACATAAGTAAACGATCGACCTGTACATTTTAGTCCCAGCCAGTGGTGCATCCATGCGTTGTCATGGGGTGGGCTAAGTGTTAAGAAATGAGGAGGCCTGTAGCTTGGAGAATGAGTGGTATTTGCTCTGTCCCACTTGCTTATTTTTCGCTCAGCAAATTTTCAGTAGAGGGCTGAGGGAAGGGGAAACGATGCAAACTTTGTCGAGGGAAGATGCATCCTTCACGCCTCCACAGACACGCTGCTCTCTATACAGTGGCGTATCTAGCAGTATTAAAATGGGGGAGGGAGCCCTGGTGGGGGGAGCGCCACCAAAATATGAGGGGGCGTGGAATTTATTTTCGGTTAACCGTGACAGCATAAGCATAAACCTAGCCTAAATTTTTTTGCTTCAAAGGATTCGAATTGGGGGGGGGGGACGCAAGCTTTCGTCGCCCCCCCCCCCTTGGATACGCCACTGTCTCTAAAATGGAAACATTACCAAATTTTTGATAGAATTGTACAGTTTTTGAAGAAAGGCTGGGGTCAGATGCGGATCCAGTAGGGGAACATACACCCCACCCTGTTTTGCCTCTAAATTTAAAAAAATTTAAATACATAGCAATGTTATGTATTGAAATAAGTGCTACTCACTTACCTATTATGAAAATTCCCCCCCCCCCCATTAAAAAAATTCTTGTGTTATTGGGGTGCCTTATTTTAGAAAAGTGCAATAAAACATAATCATCTTGCATAGATGTTTGTAACATGGTCATGGTGCTATTCTCATTTATCACCGCAAGAAAATAGCGGTAAAATATGCTTAGGCCTAATACTGAAAAAAATTGCACAAGTATACTCCATCGTTGGTGCTGTGTGAGAATTTAAAACGAATCCTTGAGAAAACTGATTTTGTATTTCCCATTGTGAAATTTGGCTTACAGAGTACAGTATTAGCTATGTTCTCATCTGAGTACTGATATCTTTCATTATTCTCTCTCATTACATATTACGATTGGTGATTCAAAAAACCTCACAGAAAAAAACAAGTGATTTTGTTCCTGCATTTATTTATTTTTTAATTTGTCACACTGCGTGCACCAACTTGAATAAATGTTTACAGTAATATTTTTGACAATTCAGTTTGCCATTGTTTTCACCAAGCAGATATCTACCCGATTCATCTTACAGTATAACGTTAATCACTGTCACAATCAATCCAATAGCTTACCTCATCAAAACTACCAAATTTTGGAGATCAATGTGAGAAAAATAATTCCACAAAAGCGCAACATAATTCTATCAAGGTTGTCTTAAAAATATGATCACTTCCAAAAATGAATTAATATGCATGATAGCTGACTACAAAATATTCATACAGTAATACATGAATATTCATATAAACATATAAAAATGCTCAATGCAAATTAATATCTATATTTTAGCCTTGGCTATATTTCAAACCTTTATTACTATATGAATATTCATATTTTTGTTATTGCTAAATCCATATGAATATTAGTATTCAACACCATATCCACTATTTTCTGTCAGAAATGTCATATCTGTATATATTATGTACATATATATATATATATACATATATATACATATATATGTACATGTATATGTACATATATATGTATGTATATATATGTATATATGGTAAGAAAAGTGTGTATATGTACTGTCTCTTATACACATCTAGATGTGTATAAGAGACAGGTACTGTACTTTGCACAATGGTAATAGGCCTAGTTGGGGAATTCAATAACCGTCTTCAGTCGCGATCTGATTTTCAATTTTTTTAATTATTTTCTCATCAATCCTAAATAAATATCTCAATTTTGCTGTCAATATCTCATGAATATCCATATTTAATATTCCATTCTATATGAATATTCATGTTAATTCATATATGAATATTCATATTCAATGTTCATATGGATATTTATTGTATATCTTACAAATATTCTGAACATATTCTTGTCAAATACAAAATATAATTTCTACAGTAGTGGTCCCATTTTGTTTGATAACACAAAACTATGGTAGCAGAAAGTCAATATGGAAATATATCATTACTCTGAATGATTTTAACAAATTTGTTAAACAATCACCAGCATAGCCTATGCCAGTTTTGCATTGCCTATCTGCTTACAAATAATTTTATGAACATTTTTTTTTAAACTAGGTTCAAAATAATACATCATTATACTACAAATGTACCGACAGATTTTCAAAACATAAAAATCATCTATAAATAACTTGTGAATTTAAGAAAAGCAAACAAAATGCACAATAAATAGTACTAACTACACAGTTCAAAATCAAACTAATAAAAGAAATGTTAAATACAAGAAAATTTAAGTTGAGGCTATAGATCACTCTTCATATGAACAGCTTTTCATCTCCATTATAATAAATATCCATTTGTGTTCATATCCGTTTCATTGCACTTTCTTTTTTTCCCATCTTCTTTTGAGCGAAATCCTTTTTCCAATCCTCTGAATGATTCAACAATCTATTTCTCCACTGAAACAAGAAATATTTCATAAATTCTTGCTCAGTCCTTTAAATACAGTATACCGCTGAGCATTTACAAAGCATCAATCGTAACTTTCACCCTTTTTTTTTTCAGTTTCTGTTTCTGAATTAAACGTCCAGCGTTTTCTCCAGCCCCTTTAACAGCACACCAGTCTCAGTACCAGTATTCACTTATTGTTTCGTTTCAAACACATAATTATTTCTATCAAAATGTCAGATTAAAATAAAAGTTTACACTGCTTCTGATGAAATACGAAATTTTGCACATTCACTTTGTTCATCATCGCAATTATCCTCAAATCGTATTTCTTACTTTTTAGCTGGACTTCCAAAATTGCAACAAAATTTTAATAGGCACTTTTTGTTTCTTGTTTAGCTAATGTCACGGTTGCAAGTATTATGGTAACTTTGTGAAATAAACGTTATTCGTACACGCAAATCTTACACACAATGCGTATTGAAATCCAACAATGATCGCGCAGGAAAATCAAACACGGACCACATGGAAATCCAACATTCATCACATTCGTAAATCCAGCGACAAATCTGGTTGGGCAAGCATTTTCTGTTCAATAAATTTAATACGAAGCTGGAACATTTTTATCCCCCATGGACATTATTATGCCAACCACATACAACAATTATTTCAAACATTGTTCAGGGGATTCATACTATACCATCCTCTTCAGCCCAATTCTCAAATATTAAACCCCAGATTTACTTTGTTCTAGAACTCAATTTCAGAAATGTGAACATCTCAAGTAACATTCTCTTACTTGTATTCTAACACATCTTCTTATATTTCTGAATATTTAAAGCTAAAATTTCATAATTTAGACAAATTCTACATACCTAAAGCTTTAAATTTCATAGCAATTGCTTTGTTTCCATTACTCAATCCTACCATGGAGGAATCTCCATGAACCTACTCAACAGGATTTCCATTATCAATCAAGTTTTAATCTTATTAACCAAGTTAACACTTTTTTAACCAGGCTGTCAACTGTTAACAAAGTTAACATGTCTTAACTAACCAGATTAGCCTTCTTATTCACATGTTACTCAAACTACATTCTTCCTTGTAAGCTTTGAAAACTGGATTTCATCAAATTTCAATACAGTGCCAAAAAATCTTGTAATTTCAACAGGGCTGTTAGTGAAATCGCTACAGGTCTTCATTGAAGAATAAACATACCAGTAAGTAGTACGTATTGTTATAAGACAAATGTATACTTTTATATGCATGTTATTGATGACTGTGTAAACAAAACACATACTATTAGTTATGTAAACCTGTTATTAATGGTATTATATAAGCATGTTCTGAAAAAATATACATCAGCTATATGTAGACACGTGCCTATCAATACACATGGCCTCTATTCTATACATAGGAATCTCTTTAGGCCCTACTACCTGGGATTGTGTAGGACCATATTGGGCTATAGGCTAAATTCCCCCAATTTTGATTGTTTTTTTTAAACATTCTGCACTAAGGGCAATACTGTAAATGCTTAACAATATAATAAGGACCCCTTATTGTTCAGGGCCCTGGCTTTGGCCGGGGTAATCCCATAGGTGTAATACATCACTGATTATCAAGTATGTATGCTCTACTTGTAGAATATAAACACAAATATATTGGAAATTGCATACACATTGTGATCTTCAATATTACACGTATATAAGGACATACATGCATGGCACACGTACATCATGTTATCCAATGGCTTACATGCATGACATGCATCTATGTAATGCACACACTATAGATTCACCATGTATTCATTGTAAGCCCTTAGTTGTGCATTTTACTGTACAGTGTGTAGAATATGTGCACACACATTTGCATGTTCTTCCAAATATTGTATACATACAAAGCATTGTAATAGCATGTATTCCACCAACACATTTTTAAGACCATATCCCAACTTATCAACTGATATTTCTTTCCCAAATTATCTATATTTATTATCAAACAATTATGACTAAATGATTTGTTGGACAATATAAATCTATATTTTACACATTTTTCTCTTACAATTTTTTGTAAGAAAGTCATCAAGTTCTGAAGATGAATGCAAATAATTTGTGCAAATGACCATAAAAATAAGGAAACTATATATTATATAGAAACAGATGACCTTTCCATACATGTTATAGCATTCTTGTGATTTACAATGAAAATGTGTACCATTCATTTTCATGCTGATTAATAGACTGGTAAAAAAAAAATTATTTCTTGTAACTCAAATAATTATTTCCATCATCAATGCATATTGTTGAGGCATCTTAATGAATATTAATGAGCTACTGATTTGCATCTATATGGTAATTTCAAGAGTATAAGGCAATTAAACCAGTCATAAAAAAACACCATAGCATTTTTTTAATTAACTCCCAATAAAAAGCTAATTATCAATTTGTTTAAAAGGATCAGAATCATATAAAACCAAATCAAAATTCAAATTTAAATTATAGCACGGTAAACCATTTACAAGTATTGCAGGCGACCAAATTTAGGAATGAGCAGAAGTTACGCCGCCATTTTAATTCTTAATTTTGGGCACCATAAATCGTGGCAACCTTACTACTAGAACTGTTGCTTAGGAACTAGAAATGACCTTTGAACACACAGAAAAAATTGAGCATTGAGCTGAATGGGTAATATGCATAAAGCAGTAGATGGCTCCTTATTGGCCAACCAGAAAATATAAATATGACAACAAATTAATTGCAGTATTATTCATGTGACCTAGGGTTAGTAAGAAGACATGACAAGTCATGTCATGAAATTAGAATCTCTCTTAAAAAGTCTGAAATAAATATTTTAATCAAATATGGTAGTGAAAATGTTCTTTTTTTTTTTTGCTTTTCTTTGCCAAAAAAGAAAAAATGATTTTTTTTCACTGAATTTTTTAGGCATACATTTACAGGATTTCTTTAAATAATCATTAAGTAATTTTACTTGTTTACTTCCAAAAAACAATCCAAAAAGTCAAAGTATTTCAAAAGGAATATTATTCCACCTTGTAAGATAAGATACAAAAATTGCACTAAATGTTATTATTTATATGTATACTAATTATAAATTATTAATATATGTATGTGTAGTGAATGTACTATCAATAAGGGAGGGGGGGGGGGCACTATCTAGCCCACTTTTACCCCCAATAAAAAAAAAACTAACAACAAGTATGGTACAGTGATTTTTCTTAAAAATATATTTGGACTTTCACAGAAAATTTGAAAGCACTTATGCATAAAAATATAACAAAATTAATAATCAGTATTTAACAGTGTTTTTATATTTTATTTAAGATGCATAAAAACAAATAGAATATTTATTTACTATGTATTATTTAGGCGTATTAGTTAATTGCGTGGATTTTTGATAATAAATTTAAAAGCTATGATATTTTTTTGGTTATTTCTTGTAATTCCATGGCAAAATGTGAAAAATGGATATCAATGGGAAACATAATTTATTTTTTATATTGTATTGTCAAAATTTCACGGTAGGATATTATTTTGTGTTGTAATCAAAAGTTTAAACTTTTGTTACATTCATACACCAACACAGATAAGCTATATTTTGAGCATTTTTATATTAATTATATTTTTTGTAAAAAAAAAAAATTAATTTTTAAAATTTCTTTTTGTAAGCAAGTCCACACAGAATTTATTGTTTACTGAAATATTGATAATCCTGTTATTATTAACCTTGTGTATAGGTTTGGTTCAGCCCATCATTCTATTGTAAAGCACCGGATATGAATGGGTGATGTAATTGGGTTGCTTATAATCAGGCGTATATAGCTTAAAATGCATTGTTCATATATTGACAGAATCCGTCATGCATTTTTCATGCTCTCCAGAACTGACAGTTTGAAGTTGAGTTATGTTTGTCTGAGCAAGCCTAGTAGGTCTAGTAACTCTAATATTAATAGTGTCAATTTGGTGGTAGGCTTGGCAGTGCAAGACCGAGATAACTTGAAAAACAAAATTATCGGTATTTTTAAAAAGCTACATAAAGACAAATCCCTATATATTATTTAGACCATATTAGTTAATTGCCTGGCTTTTGAAAATAAATTTAAAGGCTTTGATATTTTTTTGGTTATTTTGGAAGATGGAGAAATATGCTTAATGCCGTCATATTTGTTTTTTACAGTTTATGTTTGAAATTGTCAACATGTCTGGATTTGTTTGTAAACAGAATTTTTGTTCTCAATCGGATATGAGAAAATTGTTCATATCATAAACAAATTACAATAAGCTGGTTTGATATAGGTCTCTACATTTCACTTTAGAAAACAAACACTGTTATTACTGCATTCCATAGGTGCTTCAGAATATTACTGCAATTATACAGAATGAAAAACAGAATATTTAGCTGGCAATGCTCAAAAAAATCTTTACGCAATAAACTTCACAACATTTTCACTAAAAAACAATTTTTCCCATCCTCTCCAATTTGCCTTTCCCCCTAAAAACTCTTATTTTCCCACTTAATATGAAACAAAAATAAAAGAAATATATATATATTTTGTGAGACTCATCTATCAATTCAGATAATAAATCTTTATTTATGTTATATATTTCTCTGATTCCCAACCAGCGTTGCACCCGAAGATGATGATGATGATCTTAAATACTGATTAATACCTTGTCCTAATACAAAATACAGGTTGACCAATTGCTGCAGACTTGGATGAAAATGGTTTGAATTTGGTCAGACTGTAGTAATTATAACCTCAATCGCACTCCCAACCGTTGTCTTTTATCATATGAGCCAGTTCTATAATATATTTGCCTTCTTTGTATTTTTGGCTGTTCTCAAACGCATGTTCCTGAAAATACATAAATAATGAATACAAATGATTAATTGTCAGCATTTATTTTTATAAAAAGTAATGACCTTGGGAGGAATGAATAATTAAACAGGCATCCAATTATTATGTTATAATATAATATTGTACAATAGGCCATGCTTTAAGTACTTTGGTGTAAAGCGCTACATATTTAAGTGCATAATCACACAAACATGTACAGTATCTGTCTACTGTCGTACACTATCAAGTTACAGTATATGTAAATACTGTACATGTGATCTGGCCATATATCGGTATGATATGACTTTATCATGCCCATATATGATCAACTAGATATACTGTATGTCTTACAAAGCTTCATAGTTCTAGTAATCAGAATGAGGAGATCAGGACATGATTATGATGAAGTCCTACTTCAAAATTGTATACATACAACATGAATAATTGTGTATTTTATAGTTGACAAAATGAGGTTTAATTTTAGAAAATTGAATTGAAGATTGCATTTGATGAAATTATCTAGTCAGAAGAGAACATGTCTTATGCAGTAAATTAAAATGATTAAAGGTTTTGATTATGTAAATCTACAGGATTATTACTTAGTGTCAATATTCCATTAAGTAGGTCATATTTTGAAGATGGCTAAACATTCTAGGACAAGGCACAGTGATTAATTTCTATAGTACTCTGATATTGTACTGTTGTAAGCCAAACTTTTCGTAAATAAATACAAAATCTACAATCAAGTTAATTCAACACTGTTAAAAGTGTAAATTTGGTCAATTTAATGGGGAATATTTCAATGTTCAGGATGATTTATTTCTCTGTCTTATAGTCATAAGGTTGAAGAAATTATTCTGATACAATCAAGGATTTGCTGTAATGCATAGGCTAGGTCTACCTCTAGCTCTCTCTGAGTGTAGCCTCACTAGCCTACTACTGTAATATGTACTTTCATTTTCCAGTCTAAACACATTTTCCTTCCTCTTGATAATTACCCACTTCAGTATGATACTACCAAGTAATGAGGAAAGTTTATTCGGATAGATAACTAAAAAAACAAAAAAACAATACTAAACACATATTGTCAAAAATAATCAAAACAAATGCTGGCAGGATGGTTGTATAAACGCAATTTTTAGAAGACCTGTAGATTCAAGAAAAATTAAATATAGGTTTAAAGTCACTAGCATGTTTGTCAAACAACATACCTAAATGAAGTTGTACATCTGTTGTCAGCATGGTGGGTGTTTAAAACACGGTTTTGGTGCCAATGTAAACACTATGGACTAGTTATAACATTAAAACAATCACCCACAACATTAATGTTCTAAGCCTTGGTTGGCAGAGCAATTTGTAACATTAACAATATCACATACAACATTCATGTTCTAAATCTTGGTTGGCTGAGCAATTTATAACATTAAGAATATCACCAACAACATTACTGTTCCAAACCTTGATTGGCTAAGCAATAAATTTATAACATTAACACCATCACATACAACATTATGTTCTAATCCTTGGTTGGCATGGACACAAGAGTTCACCTTAAAGTCATCATGATTTGTTTTTCTTTTGATTGTGGTGGAATGGTGTGTTGAAGATGAAACTTGAGTTGTAATGTAAGGTAAACAAACGAAGTAAAGTAGGCTTTTGGATATTTTCAATATATTTTCATCATCTCTCTAATTTCACAAGCAAGACCAATGAAAAAATAGCAAGGAAGAACACAGTCTGCTGAGTATGTTGTGTATTACTAATGATATTAAAGCCACAGTAAAACTGGTTTTAAAAAAAGGAAAATTTTACCAAGACTGTGGCTAACATTTCAATAGGTAAATCTTACCATTGTTTGCACTTGGAAAAATTGATGCGGTTCGTTTTACCATGGCTTATAGTAAAACTAACCTAGTCATGAACACCCAATAGAGCGGTAATGGTATTAACTTCAGTGACTCAGGGAGTTAAACCGATTTGTGCTGTTTGCACTGGACTTACGAGAGTCGGTTAAACTAACCGTATGGGTCGGGTAAGTTACCTGAGAGGTAAGTTTCCTGGGTTGTTCACACTGAACTTATTACAGGTAAACTAACTGGCGTGTCAGCTACTTCAGAAAATAGTCCTGTGGGATTGCAGCTTTAGTCAAAGGAAAAAATTATTCTATAAATTTTACTCTAAAATATACTTCACATTATTATTAAATAATTATACAGATCAATGGATCAGGTTTATAAACTGGTAATCAGTGTCCACTTTAAATTTCTGGATGGAGATATAGCACTACCGTAATTTAAAAAATCTAAACTAACTTAAGTGTACTGTAGGGTCAAATCAAAATCTAGATTTTCCCATTCGAAACCTGTTGCATTGGCTGGTTGTGGCACACATTCTTACAACGTTGAATGTAGACATTCCAAAAAGATGATGTAAGCCACCACTTCCATGTAAGCTTTCAACATTAATAAATAGCAGTTTGTAAAAAAAACCCCCTGAATTCCAAAAGTCACTATGCATGGAAAACATTTTTTTTGACCTCATGTTATAAGCTCAAAATTTATTCAAAAACATCGACCCTGTTGCGACTGTCATAATAAAATGAAAACATGATTACATGGACAAAAACCAGTAGGTCCACTGATAAGTTTAAGATAATTTAGTATAAAACATACTCGCAATAAAGAAAGACTAGTCATTTTGATTCAATATTTCGATCTTTTACTAGATCATCAGGAATGAATAGATTCCAACATTACAAACATATATTCCAGGTGTTACAGAAAATTAACCAATGAGAAACAGTCAATAATGTAGCCAATAAGATTCAGAATTAAGTGTTGGTGATTAAGTATAAAGTATCAATAAAGTATCAATAAGCAAGCTTAATGATGTGATGAAATAAACAACTGGAAGTGAGAACTAGGTAAACAATGATAGTTCTTTGGATGGTTTCAGTCCATTGTTAAGTAATGGGTTAAAACGTCTAATAGCGAAAGCCTCTTTAAACAATAAATGTGACCAGTTACTAGAACTGTCAATAATCCTAGTGCTATGAAAAATCAACCCTAACGAATTACATAGTTTATAATCATCATCAATATCTGGTAAATTGTGTAAGTCAAGTATGTAATTAAATGCATCACAAGATTTAACATGGTCAAAGATCACGCTATTAGGTCCAGATGAATGTTCTTTGAGCCTAGTAATTAAACATTGTCTGTTTTGCCTATGTACTCACTACTGCAACCAGGACATTTAAAGTGGTATACAACTGAACTTCGGTATTCTTTAGAGGTGTGATCTTTGGTTGAAATAAAATAACTTACTTTCTTATACTGCCATAATGTAATATAAACTTTACATTTTTATCAAGATTTCTTTTTGATTTTCTTTAGACACCTATGTAGAATTGATTCACCGTGTTTACCAAGATATGGCAAATGTAACAAGTCATCATCATTAACATTCTGTACATTATTACCAAGCCATAAGATAATTTACCAAATAGTCGATTTATAACTCTTAACGGGAAGCCATTCCAAGACATAAATTGTTTGATTTGTTTGAGTTCATTTTGTAATGAATCACCGGGAGTACATATTTTGTGAGCTCGCGTGTACAAAATGATATTTTGTGGTTCCAGGGGGTAAAGCTATTGAAATGAACATATTGGGCTGTGTACGTACTCATACGGTAAATCCCAATATTGTGTGTACCATTGTCAAACTTTAAGTCAAGAAAATGTATTGAATCACTATTTTCAAATGATTCAAAAGTGAACTTAAGTTGTGAATGAAACGCAATTAAGGGATCGGAGAATGAGATCAAAATCAGAGGGCTTACTGTAGCAAGAACTAAAGTATTACATGGACAATAAATAATAACCAGAATTTCTTTTTGTGTTTTTATACGCGGACAAATATAATTAACATACTGTATACAATGAAACATACATTTATATTTAAATGATAAAAGAAGCAAATTGGACATAAACATGTAGTTGGTTGGAAAATCATGTTAATCATATAATAATTATCATCATTTATGTGTGGTGACTTTAGGTGATCCTAAGAAACAAAGGATCTACGATTACCATCATCATCTAATTGTAGGATGGCTACCAACGTCAATTTATATAAACTGCTTGTCTTAAGAGACTTGAAAAAACAAGGTAATTCACATCCCAGGATATGTAATCAGCAAGTGAACGTGTGTACATGTATAGAGTAAATGTGTGCAGACATGTGTAACGTGTGTGGGAGTTTAAGTATCTGTTTGCATACAATTTGCCATTTCTACAGCATAATTTTAGCATACTTTTTGTACTACTAGTACTAATGTGGTTGATGAATTTTGCTTGGGTGGTTATATAATTGATATTTCATATTCAAAATTATTTGATATTTTACAAGGTACAGTAATTATAATTATAATTTCTACCCATGACCCATAATATCTATCAATGAAAACAATGTTGGAAACATTGATGAAATCCTGCAGTAACTGTGCTTGGCTTATTAACTATTAAACAGTCCAACAAGAGAGAGCAGCTAAGCTCAGTTGGCTAATCTGGTGGTAGCCACTGTGCCCCTGGTTCAATTCCCATTGCTGCCTTTTCTTGTGTTTCAGCTGGAGGACTGAAATACAAGTTACAACAGCGCACCGTCTTTCGGATGAGACGTTTAAGCCGTTGGTCCTGTGTGCATTTATGGCCCATGTACATGTTAAAGAACGCAGTACACTCTTCGGAAAAGAGTAAGGGATTGTCTAATGGTGTACTGCCCAACCACCACCAGAAGTCTTCTTCTAGACTTTCATGGGCTATCCTTGGTGTTTACACCAAATAAATCCAATCCAACTAATATTTATTAAGCAATTTCAATGAAATCACTTCCAACATGCTTAAAATGAACCATCATTTTAAGGGTGTATACAAAGAAATACTGTAATTTTACAGTATATTTACATCTGATTAATTTATAAGTTCCAATAGAAAGCCAATATTTTATTTAAAGCAAGCAATTTAAGTTTAGTTTAAAGAGTATTAAGTTTAAACTATAAACAATAATATTAAAAAAATAAGTGCAGTTTGGTAGAAGGATTTGAATCAAATTTTATTTATTTAAGTCAATAAAGAAAAAAAAATCCATGATAATTCAAGTCCAATTGAATTAGTTAACAATAATTACACACGAGTTGACACGATCTCATCTAGTGCTGTCAAAATAGAGAGCATCACTCACAGGCAGTGTGTGCGTGTATGCGTGATGATTTTGCCTACATCAACATTTAAATGTCGGCCTTGGACTCTCTACTTACATATTTCCAGCCTAGCGTAGTTTTACAGCATTCACAAAATATATCGGAGACAGCGTGTAGACCGGTTAGTAGTACCCGCTCTTCTGCGGGGCCACATCCTACATTAACACTGCAATACAAACAATGTTAAAATGAATTAAAAGAGATTCAACAATTAAAACAAATACCAATAACATTATCCTGGAACCATGTTATGAAAGGCAAGTATCAGTTTCCTTTGTGTTGTAATTTAAATTTCAGTACTGTATTGTATTTTTCTTATAACAAAATAAATGAACTGAAACAAATAGATGTATTAGCATGGACCTATTAATAAGTCATGGTATTAGTATGTAGTTCATATTTACAGTAAATTTGTTTCTCAGATGAAGGTGGAATACCTGGCTTCAACAACCTAATATGTATTCTGATAAATATACATTAAACAATCATAATAAATTCAATATGTCATACTTAATTTAGATGCCAATTAAATAGGTTACATAGTTTTGGACTACATTACTTTAATTATGTGTCACAAGTGGCACTCTTTTCTTAGAAGATGTCAAATGAATATATTGCATCTATTTTGACTGATGTTCAATTTGGTCCCAGGCACATGAAACTCCTTTAAGACGTCAAATGAGTATTTAGTAGTAAATTGATTCATGGTTCTAGACACATGCAGACCTGAGCATCTTCATAGAAGTTGTCAAACGAATCTTGCTATTAAACTGTATTGAGTCCTATATTTAGTTCCAAGCACATGTGACACTCGTCTCTAAGATGTCAAGTGAAAATCTTGAGAATACTTTCATAAATTAAATCTTCAATCCATATATTTAATGCAGTATAAATTTGATTAGTTAAATACAAAGCTAATTCATTAAATATGCTGATGTACAGTATTTGCCTATGTCCACCTCATCAAAACCGTTGCCATGGCGTTAGTCATGTCGTCTTCACAATCATAACGTCAGTAAATTTGTTTAGCTTCAATATATCCTCACTTCTCTATGTTGATTTTCAGAGATAAACCATAAGCACCTTAAAATCCAATTATACTAAAAAATTCAGAATTTCAAACACTTTAGTTTTATAAGCTTCATAATGAGGATTTGAAAAATATATCACGCTACACAGTGTTCTCCCAACTGAAAAATTTTTACTGGCAAATTTGTCCATAAAAAATGCGCACAATGTGAGGTACGTTACCCCTTTTTAGTTGGGTTAAATGACTTGAAGACACAACAACACATATTCATAGTGTAGATATAGACTGGAATGATGTTAATTTATTAAGAGGGCCAGCCTGGACTACCTAAGCCTAATCAATAGTTTTTTATATTTTACAAACTCAAAATTTTTACTGGTTGGTTGGTTATTTTTACCGGTAAAATTGACGGCTAAGACGGCTTCGGGAGAACACTGTACAATGAATTATGACATTGTTCTGTAAAAAAAACTAATATCAAGGAATACTATAATGTGTGGTTTATAGGGGATTACGAAAATCAAGTTGAAAAATATAAAAAATTAAGATAAAGAAAAATTCATAAACTCAAAATTAAAAGTTTACAATAAATTAGTTAATGGTGCACTTTTAATGTAGTTATAAATATAATATAGGATTTTCATAATTATTAAAATCCTACTGTTCAGTGTATAGTAAATTAACGTTTACATGTATGCGAATGACTTACATGTACAATACATGTATCCAAATGAAAATAATAACATATCTATGGGATATTTCTCAAGATAAATTCAAATTATCATAACTATTATCATTATATTCATTATGTTAAATTTTCATCTCAAACTCTATTATATTTTATTAAACTTTAAAATACTGTACTTGTGCGAATAAGCACCCGGGCGCTTAAAATATTTTTTGCACTTTTTGAGGGGCGCTTATTCAAACAAGCGTTTATTTAAACGGGGCGCTTATGAAAACAGAGTGGAAATTCAGGGTCACTTATGGAAATAGATGAAAATCGAGGGATTCTTATGGGAACTTATTAAATTCAAGAGGCACTTTTTGAATGAAAAATTAATATAAGGACATCGGGAAACTGCAAATTACGAATGGCAGTGCGGCGGAAGGAAATAGTCCAGAGAGCATTTCTCATGACACGAATGCTGTGAAGATTTACATAACAGCAGAAGAGCAATTAGTGATGGTGGATAGTGGTTAGCTTGTTAGCCATCAGCCGATTGAGATTAGCAGGATGGCAGGATCATTGCAGGTTTTCTTGAAAACTTGATGAGAATGTGCCAAATGTGGAAATTGTCAGAAAAAGGAAAAGAGGAATAGGACTAGGCCTAGCAAAGTTAGTCTACTTTAACAAATAACAATAAGCCTCTGTCCAGACTATCAAATTTTATTTGACAAAAACATGCAACATGCCTAAATATGGTCATGATGACATCACATCATGACCATACATAGGCATATCATGACCATATATAGGTACATCATGACTATATATGGGCATACAAAAGTTTTTGTCATCTAGACAGACAGAGCTTAAGAACGGTTTTGCACAATAAAATTTTATTTTTAATATATTATGCAAAATTACACATAAACAATTCAGACCTTGAAAAAAGCCTAAGATTTAAGTTTTTATAGATCAATATTAAAGTGTCCATAGTTGTTAGGATACACAATTAGTGAGTCATCAATATTCATATTCAATAGCGAATACCAGATGTGATAATTAAGATTAATGATTATTAATGCCATCTATTTCAATGTCTTATAGAAGTCATGAATCTGTGATTATCATGATTGCAAATTTAGGTTAAACATGTTTCCACATAAATCGATGTTCACGGATGCGATTACAACTAATAATTTATAACAGTTGGATTTTATAATCATTTTGGTATTAATTATGAGCACATCCTGTTACTGTATTAAAGAGATTTGTGAAAATTAATCTATTTAAAAAAAAATCCAACAAAGTAACTGTAAATAATTCTTATTTATGAAACATTGAGTGGAAATTCTATATTATGCATAAAAAAAATTAGTCGGTAGCTTGTGAAATAAATATATCGTTAGTCATAAATGTGGTACCAACTAGGTCTACTGTAATTTTTCAAAAACTTGCTTACTGATTAATATAGCTACACAACATTTTTGTGTACATCAGAATGATTATAAAATTATAATATTTAAGTTTTAAATGTATTTAAATCAATTAATTCAAATATTATAGAATAGCTAAAATAATACATAAAAAAATTGATAACTGGATGCAGGCTGCCAAAAAATGTAGATTACAAAAAGACAATTTTATGCATAGACAGGCATCTCTAGCACATGATTAAAGTGGACACACAATATAAACATGGCAGTTTGGTTAAGCTAAGCTATGCTAATTACATTGTGTTCAATAACTGTTGTAGAAAATGCAACCTCTACCCAGACAATCAATTGGGTACAGAATTTACAGGCGTCTCTTTTGGGGGCTAGGCCAGTATGAGTATGTGCGCACTATACTATATTTTTCTAGTGTTCATGTATAATTTTTCCTCTTCCAATACCTAAATTCTATTCAAAGGGGTGGGCATCAACTAATATTAAATTATTATTCATGGTAATACAAGGTATATAATTGTCAATTAAATATAAATAAAATCTTGACTAATTTGGCAAACAATCGGTAGTTCATTGTCATTGGTTAAATTCTGCTAGCTGATCCAATCGCATTAGTTTCCGCGTCCAATATACTCTCAACATCAGAGATGACATGAATTGATATCTCCACCATCCATCCCTCCTTAGCATGGCATCCAATTAGTGTAAGCATTAGCCCTGATATCTGTCATTGTTAAATCAAGTGATGTTAGTGACATGTCAATATTGTCAGATCCATGAAGCCCTGCTGAGGCTCACTGGTCAGTCTGTTGCTCACGTTGCGTGGTCACAAGCCGATGAATTATTAATTGATCAGCGAGAGGAAGGAATTGGAATTATAATGTAGAAAGTAATACAGGTGATGAAGGAGGGTTTGCAAAGCAAAGCTCTAAACATGGAGCAATGTTTTATACATTATTCTATCACGTCAACATGATCATTAGCAGAAAAAAATCATTTTTATATTCTCAATATAAATGTAATTTATTATAAAAACAAAATATACAGCCTACTGGTAATTATTATTGTTAAATTCTTTTTGAAAAAAAAAATGTATTTCATATAAATTAAATAGTTAGTAGATATTGTTTGTATTATCTCAATCATGTTTTACTTTGAATATCAATGCACCAGCAAACAACTCAAGGATGAAATTTGGCAAGTTAATATCAAAATAAAAATAAAGCCTCCCTCTCTTTCTCATCACGTTTCCAGCCTACATAGGGTGATACACTAATAATATTTGTTATTTTTTATAGGGCCTAATCACAGGTTGGAATTTAGATTATACTTTTTAAAACTAAAATAAGGTCTTCTGAGTGGAGCGTGTACTATGATTTGAAACAAAGGACCTATAAATGCAAGGCTGGCATCTCACTAACCAAGCTGCAACCTTTCTGCTTTCTTCAAATATAACTGAAAATACTTATTTGGTATCATTTTATACTAAAATAACTAATTTTGCATGGTATAAATTATAGTCAGTGTAAGTACCCAGTTGAAGTTTAAATCATGATTAAGTCTATAACTTTGTCTGACTGGATAAATGTAGTTTCACTATGAAAAACGCAATTATTCAAACATTTTCAAATTAGGGATATTCTAAAAATAGGTTTTCTTACTGCAACCATATAAAATAATTCATTGCAGTACACGAAAACATGAAGCCAATGCAATCTAACATGACATTTTTTACCTTTACTGACTATTAAAAATATAATAATACAACAAAACAGATCGATAAAAACATGGAGTGTTTGAATCCAACATTAAATAATTTGAAAAGGAATGAATTTTAATTTTTTTAATGGAAACAATAACAAAGCCATTATGTTCTACAGTGCACACTATATTATTCAATTAAGCTATTAAATAAAAGGTAAAGATAACAAATTTAAGTATCCATTGTGATATGCAAATAAGGATAAAATTAGACCAATGCCATCAATGTAATTTAAAATTGTGTGATTTAACCTTATGCCGACTATAAAACAGAAAAAGAACTTAATGTTAAATTTTAAAAATAATTATCCTAAGAACAATCATGAAGGAAATAATTTCCTCAACAAAGCAATGTTAAGCAGGAAGAAAAAATTATTTCATCCTTAGTTAACATATTCACTAAAGGAAAACCGAAATAATTATAGTGTATAGTATTCAAACAAACCATTATTAGGAAATGAACACTAAAGACAAAACAGAATAAACTACAAGAAGGAAATACTAAACTTGCCAAGGAGTGCTATTGTACACAAAGATATAAAATAGCTTAAAAAAAAACTGGTGGTAAAACACCTAGAAAAGCCTACAAAAATCCAATTATTATCATACACAAAGTATCCAAGTATGTCAATGCCGGGACAAGGCTTATTTTAGATAAGCTGTGTTTGCTGTCTCATCTTTATGCAGTAGAAAAAAACAAGAAAGAAAGAGCCACATCCACTATTTTAAAAGTTAAAAAAACCTTTTTTTGGCCTATGGAAAATCAACATCGACAGCTAAAAACAAACCAATTTGGAAAGTCTCTAATATTTGAAATATTCAGGAAAATACAAGCCTCATTCACTTTTTAAAAACATGAATATTTTCCTTTAGCCTAAATTTGCGACTCAACATTCATGCTATAAAAAAAAATGGAGATTTAACATTGACGCTAAAAACAAACCTGTTTTTCAACTTACACTTTAGTCTCTAATATTTTAAATATGTATTCCAATAAAGACTTACATTATTACTTTCAGTATTAACATTATATTTTACAAGGCTGACCTAGGAAAATGAATGTGAAATATTATGTATTGTACATCAATGTACAATATAGTTAATAGTCTATCTACTAAAACTAAAGTTCATTTCTTATGCAAATGTTTCATTAATGTTTGTTCAAGTGTGAACATATTGAAAAACCCTTTAAATTTCTATAAATCATTTAAAATTTCACAAATCATAAAAAATAACTCTTTATTTCTTAAAAATGAATGGTTGCAAAATGTTGGGACAGTCAAAATCAATAGCCTTTAAATGGTCATCAAAATCTATGCTTACTGTATTGTTTTACAATCATGTAAGTGAGCATGTTGTCTATGATTCTTGCTTACTTTGTGTATAGTGATCAACAATTCCACGTAACTGTTAGCTTTAAAATACTGTATCTGTATTTCAATTATTTCCAATGTATTTTAAGTCAACGTAGAAGTATATATTTCTGAGCTCCTATGAAATCCCCAATAGACAAATACATAAACTTTAAAGGGTTTATATTAAATTGTAAGCAAATTCTGATGTTTTGAGTGAGCAAATGCATTAAGCGGCAGTGTCTGGAAACAGTGTGTATGCATACCGATGAACTATCAGTATCTCAATGTCATAAATTTTTCATTTCATCTAAAATTCCTAGCAATTACCAGCTTAAAACATAATCTTACATTGAAAGCATATTCTTAAGCAGAGTCTTACAGTAAAGGTTTGAGGTGTTATGCTTCCAGACTGAAGATGTCCAACCTTCGCCTTTCATAACTGACAACAGAAGCTTCTTTAACTACTTAAGCTATCGAGGACTGTTATTCGCAAACCGCAATAAATTACAAATATCCGTAAAACTGTAAACAAACAATTCCTCCTTTTTGGCAAATAATAATTTATGTATTCAGATAGGTAGGAGGCATTCAAGTACTAGTTGTTACAACACTGCATAATCATGTTATTGCACAATTTTAAAACACATTTAAATTAATATATTTCTTGGTAATATATACTATACAACACAGAACAAGCCTCTCCGATTTTATGTAAGGACCTAATAACGACACTGTGACAATTTAGTCGTAAACATTATTGGGTTTTACTGACCCTTCGCACAAGGATGAATAAAGCAAGAGGTTCAGTCATTCTGAACAGATGGGTTATTTTTTAATTTTTAATGATTTATTTATAATGTGAATGTAGTATCATAATTAATGTGTATTATCATTAATTTTTCTCGAGTATTGAAGATATTATATGACTCCATGACTTCAGAAAGAGATTCACTTTCGATGGCCCCAGTTCACCTAGTTTCTCGCTTTAATTATGACCTAAATGAAAAGAAATGTATTGACCTGAACATTAACCACGACATCATTACAAGAACCACTTACTGCATACACTTGAGTACAGTAAATGAGACAATCTGGAGGCATGCTTTTACTCTATGTTATGGTATATTGCATGTTCTATGAAATTATTAGCAGAAATGTTTATCTTGTCTCTATTTTCTCTTTAGATCTTCCATCACCCACAGAATGTGTACCTTGAACTACTCATCCATTAATAATCAAATGGAAACAAAACATATTATTCCTTACACAGTGTTGGCATACTGATTATTCCTAATTAAATAAGCAAATGTTAAAGCTACAGTACACAAGGTTGTCAAAATAAGAATTTGCCAGATTAATATTTTCATTTACTGAAGCCAGCCGAGTAATTCATTGTCCACAAGCAGTCCACTACGACCACTCCAGTTAGAATCCCTCCACAGCATTCAGAAAGTACCAGGTAGGTTATGGACTCACAACCTTGAGGTCAGAGTTCAAAACTCCCCGCTGTACAAGCAAAGGCACTTTACGTTTGTCTCTCTCTCTCTCTTCCCAGGAGGATAAATTGGTACCTAGTAGGACGTTGTGGCATTGATTGTACTAGCATTCCCACACATTAGCATTTCTTCCAACTGTCTGCTTTCCCCAGAATGGCAATTGTCACTGCACACCAAGTGTTATGCTAGCTAGTAGTAGTCTTGCTTTAATAGACTCCTCAATCAGCTGTTACACACTCTATCACTACACTTTAGATAGGACTGGCTACAGTCTTTTGTATGGTACTATAGAGATGCATTACCAAAACATATCAGTTTTAATTTTAATGTGTCAATAATTTCAGCCACAATATGTCACTCTTCTGTTCTTGTCCCTAAACCCCAGCAATAATTATACTAGTCAGTATTAAATGATCCAATATCATTTGACCCTGTCCAATTTTAGTAATAATGACCTCTACTGTAATCCAGGCATTGACTACATACTGTATCATAAGTTACCTTACCTAGTGACATTTACATACAGTAAAGCAACATATAAATCAATATATTAATAATTAGAATGATGGTATATACTTACACTGAATTGAATAGGTAAGCCCTGCCCTGGCTTCCTTGAAATGACTGCAATAAAAAAATTTAAAAAAAAATTAATGATTCAATATGCTACAATATTAAACAATTACTATTTAACATCAAATATTGGCAAATGTTTGTTTATTAGGTTTTGCCACACAGAAAATATACAATATAAACAATACAGTATTGTTTGTATTCATTAAGTTTGCATCAATAAGTATTATCATGATATTTACAAACAAAAATGGTTATATATTTTATGATGAATATCAATTATATCAAAGACAACATGTGAATTAAAGATCATAAAATCAAAATACAACTGACAACATAGAAAGTAAAATTAATAAATTAATGCATGATTCAGCTTTGTAGTACATAAAATAAAATGTGATTCACTAAATGGAAAATATACTCTGGATCCTAAGTTCAATCACCGGATCTTTACAAACTGTAATTTTACTAAAATAATTACACCATGAATTGGAACATGCACATATCAAGTTCACCACTCTAAGGACCTCAATTCAGATTAACTTGTTCCAGGAACTGAATTGGAATATATAATGTCCATATAGCTCTCCAAGCCAATCTAACAACTAATGTTTTTCTACTGAAGCCAATCTAACAACTAATGTTTCTCTACTGATTATATGGTAATTATGAACCCTACAATCAATATTCCATTATAAAGTACTATTGCTATAGAAAAAGTATAGCAAAATATTATTGCACTCTAGATATATGACAACGAAAACATTTTTTTTGACATGTACAACAAATAAAAACCACAGATTAAAGCAAGGTTACTGGTAGAAATACTTTACTGAAAGGACAATATATATTTAGTAGACTCAAATAGAGTTTCTTTGAAGTAAAAATGTTGTTTTCAGTGGTTTACTTTCTTGTAGCAAATTGGACAGTACATCAGAAGAAAATCCCCTTCTCTTTTCCAAAGACTTACGTTCTTTTTAACACACACACAGGCCATTATTGCACATGAGACCATCTGTTTTGCCGACCTCTCCTAGACAACACACACATTAATATGATATCATTTCCTTGGTTTGATAGACGTTTAATGAGCAATGTTCATACTAATAACCCCTTTGGGTTCAGTTCCCACCATCTTACACAATGCGGGACAACAAAATCATGATATAATTTAAAACTAATATTAATGAAAAAGATCGTAGAAACCAAGAGCAGAGTTGTAGCTGGAACCTATTTAAAAACTACTATACTGCATCTTAATTAAATGAAAGGGTCTATTATCACATAGCAATTGCTATAACAGGAGTAACAGGAGACTGTGACACGATGAGGCTTTTTTTTTTTTAGCTCCCAGACAGTTTTTTTATGTCCAAAAAAGGGTGCAACAGCTTTCCAGGAGTTTTTTAGGACACAAAAATCGGACAGTTTAACGGTAGGAACAATATAAAGATTTCTAGGGTAGGCCCAGCCTATATTCATGTAGACAAAAGAAACGAGAGCCTACAAACTGCTACAGACAAAGAGTGACCATTAGGGATGCTGAATAATTTCATCCATGGTAATTTAGTCAAGCTGCAAGCTACTGGTTAATTCATGATACCTTTACCTGAGAGCAATGCATGGGTGACCACATTAGGAAAACCACAGGAGTTTTTGCATCAGTCATGAACGAATTAGTAAACAATCACCTGAACTCTAAACACAAAAACAAGAACAAAACTAAACTTGATGGATTGAGATAAACTGAGGTTATTAATAGAAATCTTAAGATTAGAATTCTTACTGTCTAAAAGTAGTAAAAGGTCACCAGCCTCTCCCTGTCTAATTTGTTACTATATTAACCATTGCTACATTCTTTTACAATATTTAGTATAAATTTACAATATACATAGATGTGACCTTTCTGCAATCATGAGCTTGCAAGTGTAATTATTTATGTCCTTTAATTATTCCGACATGTACAGCACAACCTTAAAAAACTTGTCAGACATTATTATTTAAACTTGTGAACCCGGGAGCGAACATGAATTACGAAGGGTTAAATAAAGTTAGCATTTCATTGAAAAACTAATTCAAAAACATAATTAAAACTCACATTTCTGGTTATTGTATTCTTATTTATCGTTAAGTGGTTTTCTTAACATTAAGCCATAACAAAACATTGCCCTTTTATCACAGGTTTTGATGTGACAAACGGTTTGAAAAAGTCATCAATTCAAAACTATCATATTTAAATTTTCGTTATGGTAACATCGTATTTTGTTTTCAGATGACAACCACGCTTTATGGATTCAGTAAATGATTTCTGTAAACCCATGTTGTATTTCAATGGAATGGTGCCAAACAATTGCAAGATGATGTCACTATGTCGTCATATGCATGATGTCAATATATTGTAACTGCTGGATTCTTGGTAAATTTTTTTAAAAGCTTTATAAAACTTAGTATTGTCTTGTATAAAGTATTGTACTTATGTAGCATTTGATGATTCAGGATATAATCTAGAAAATTTAAAAAAAGCATATTTCATTATTATTATTTATAAAATTAGTTAAACAATGATTTACAGTATTGTCAATATTTACTAGAAACACTATATAATACTATTAAGATATCATACAGTATATAGGTTTGTGTTGAGTTAATATGTACATACATAATTTTAAATAATTGCTTACAGTATTAAGTGTGTATTATCTAAAATTATTTTCCATGTCAGACAGATTGGTATCACACTACTAAACCCAACACATGCAATATATACTGCAGACACTGGAGATAATGGTACAGTAGAATATTTGTTTCTGCTTGTTGTGCTTAATAGAATACAAACAAGGCCAAGTGTGGAATCCATTGTAAATTGCCAATTTGCTCCATGGGAAGTGGTGTGAAATACAGAAATTTGATTGTAATCACAATAATACATGCGATTATTTCTCCTGTTTCTACCTGACTAATCTATTGATCAACATTTCCCTAAAAAGGTAAGTTTATGCTACATTTGTTTGTCACCACTAGACACCATTAAAATCATGCTTGCGTAGCCTATTCAAAAGGTAAACATTCTGTGTTATCCACATTAGATAGGTAACAGGTTAGCTCATACATTAGACTCAATAGTTAGCACACTTAGCTAGATGTCTGCGCTGCGCAATATGACAATGGACATTCATAATTAGCGCTTACTTATCAGGCAATATATGGATAATATACCAAGAAATCAAGTTCAATAGCATTCCGAGTATAACAGAATGCAATTGATGAAACTTATCATTTAAATTATAAAATGTGGGACATTGATGATTACTTATTTCAAACTCAAATTAATCTGATTTAAATAATTTTGTTCTCAGAATTGAAGAAACACCAATGACCTCAAATCTATGTCAACTGCTGTAAAAACAACTGTAGGAAAAAAACAACTTCCATAATTATGACAAGTTGAAAATGGTTATATTGTGAAAATATCAGGAACACTGTCTGTGCCATCAAAAACATTCATTTTAGCCTTAATTTATTTAGAAAATGGCAATACAAATTTAGAAAGGAAAAGATATCAAGATTTGTATACTTTTTTTTACCAGTTGCCCTATTCTAGGCTGCCCACCATCAAAATCAGATTCCTCTTTCAAAAAATTCTGGACACCTAATAAAATATAGTCATGGATCTTTACAAGTTGCAATCTATAATTACTTGTGATTTAATATGGATAAATGTTGAATAAGGCAGAAATATTCATGAAAACAAGTAGATTGCACTGAATATCTGTAATCAAAATAAACACCTGAGAATGGAGACATTATGCACTAGCTGCACTACACTTTTTAATAACGCATTATTTATATATAAATAAAACGCTGTATACAACAAATAGCTAACTGTAAAGTATAGACTGGAGCAGACAGTGGACCCATACTGAAATGGATTCTATGTGTCTTTTATCCCACTGTGTAATTCCCTATTCTACTTCATATCCAAGCCCAAACAAAAATTTAACCAAAATACGGGTCTCCCTCTAATGAAAGACCCCTCCAATTAAAGACCACTTTTCTGTGGTCCCAATTAACAAATGTTTTTTTATCATTATTATTCTAATTAGAGACTAAAGCTGCTAAAGAGCATGGAAACCCTGTCCCAAAAGTGGTCTCTAATTGAAGGAAGACCTGCAAAACTAATTATAGGCCTACAGTATGCTAAAGAGTTTGATGTAGCATGAACGAAACAAATGTAAACAAAGGTTATCCAACATTTTTTATTTTAAGTATTCTACTTCCTGTATGATCAGTCTGTGACTAAGAGCCCAATCACACTTGAGAGTTACGTCGGCCCAGGGCCACCTCAGGGTCGGAAATTTGTGTGAACAATCAATAAATGTTAAGCCGGCCCTGAGCTGACCTAAAGTTAATCCGACTTTTGAGTCGGCTGAGGTCCCGCAATGTGGGCCCAGGGCCGACCCAACTTTATATCTGAACGTAAGCCGAACCTCAGCCGGCCCAAGTTCACTCTGATTGCTCGATTTTGACATCTTATCATTCATTCGAACTGACTTGCGCGAAAAAACACCATTGAGAAATAAAATTGTTAAGGAAACTGTAAAGTAATTTGTATTTAGTTGAACTATTGTTTTTGAATAAAAGTTTTTATATAAGGTCTCCATGCCTAACTAATTATTACTCAGCCTCCGTGCGAAGCATAAGCATCATCACAAACCAAGTTGTAGGCATGGGGAATACCACGTGATACAAAGCTTACGCATGGGCAGTTTGACAGATGACGACTTTCTTTTCTACAGTTAAAGAATTCCAGTAGATAAAAAATATATTGGCCTATTACAAGCTCAAGAAACCCCGTTTTTGTATAGCACACATTAATTTAACAAGTTTATATTCTAAAATTATAACACTGTATAGCGGTATCATTTTTTCTGTGAACGTCATCCTCACCAACCAAGTGCGTTTTGTGTCGACGTTCGTGAAGCTACTCACGTGACCCCCGAGGACAGAAAAAAACATAATTGTTTGTTTTTGTTATGAGTGAAGCTGGTTCTAAAAAGCGTAAAAAATTGTTTGTGAATGAACCTAATATGAAAATAATTATTATTGCCAAATAGATAGATCTCGAAGCTACTTATTCACAATCAGTGTCTCCGGTCTGTGGCCAAACATTGACAGCAATATAGGCCTATATAGACAGTTTACAATATACAGGTATTGACTTTCGAAATCGCGAGTCTGGCTTTGCACAGAGTAAAATCGAGCTGCGCTAATTATAGGCCTTGGTTATTATAAGAATTATCGTCGCCATAATCATGAAGCAGAATGCTATCCACTTAAAAAATCGAAAAAGTATAAGGACAATTTTTGAAATTAGGTTCATGTTTCGCGCGAATTTATGCTAGGTTGTGATTTACCGTTCCGCCATCAAAATGCGATCGCCTCATCTTCCTGTCCTGCAATTCATCGACCTGGCCCAAAAGAAGAAGTGTGAACGTCCGTAAGGCGGCCCTGGGCCGACTTAAAACAATAACTGTGAACGGAAATGAAGTTAAGTCTGCCCTGAGTCGGCCGTAATTTAAGGCGACCCTTGGCCGGCCTAATAAGTGTGATTGCGCTCTAAAATACAGTAGGCTTACAAGGGCCTAGAAGAGCAGGACTCAATAGAGGTTGTTAAAATAACCCCATGGGGTCATCTGCTTGTTTTCATGTTGGACAAAAAACGGAAATGGTTGCAATTTAAGATAAGAAAATTACTGATCGCTAAATTCATTATACATCCACTTCCTTTATTTTCTTGAAAAAAAAAATCTATTTCCTTTTGATGTGAGGTATAGCATAGTTAAATTGCAATAACAAAATGTACAGACATAAATGTATGGATAGTTTATGGATACTTTAATTTTATTTTTAAAACAAACAAAAGCAGGGACAGGGCAAGAAATATCTATTTCCATCCGACCTGAAAGGAGAACATGTTTCAGGTTGCTTATTTTATGATACTGCATAATCTTTGTTTTCACACTTTTAATCACCACCCCCCCCCCCCCTACAATATTATTACATCATGATCTTATATGGACTTCCAAAGCCTAATTCCTAACACACAATTTTATTTCCTCAAATTGAGATGGCAAGTACAGTACAGCAATTCCTGCGTTTCACACATTAAGTTCCTCACACTGCTTCCTTCATGTTGATCTCATATCCTCTTTTTCCACCTTGCAGTATGTAGAGAGTGTAAACCTGCCAGCTTATCCTAGAAGGCAGCTGATATTCAGGGGCCCTCTTAAATAAATGAAATAATGTAAAGCTTTATCAGCAAAGTCTCCATTTTTAATGGATAGTTTTTTAGTCAAATCCTATGCTGTCACAGGATTTGAACCCAGAACCATGGGACTGGAAGGCAAGCACCTTAACCAACAAGCTATATCTCCACTACTAATGGACTATAAAAGTCTTATATAACTAATATAATTAGTAACCACTTTATTTCTCCTACATTCCACATCTTGCTGGTTTTTGTTATTGTTCTCAATGGGTTCCATTCTATTGTAACTATAGTTATTTTAATTTTTATGTTAATAAATCAAAATTAGCTCATTAAGCTTCACCTTTGGACCAGGATATTTTGTTACAAACAGCATCTTTATGATGCTCAAAAATAACAAATCCTAGCCTACGTCTAATGCAATAAAACAACTAGCAACTACAATACACAAGCCCTCGGGGATAGAATGTGTTATAAGGGTAATTTCAGTACGTTAATTACCTAATTAGTTAAAGCTAGGAGCTGTTGTTTTACAGGGAATAAACCAGTTTTGACAAACTTGTTTGTTAAATTTAGATTCATTGGGATGGGAAGATAAAGAGCTCACATTTGGACAAAATGTATTAATATACTCATTCTATTTCAAATAGCAATTGTATTAGTGGGTTATAAGCATAATGGTGTGGGAAAAAGTGCATGTTCTTCTTGATCACTCACAATAATTAAGCTTTGGGTGGGACAGTTTTATTTCACAATCAAATCAATGATTGGGTGGGTAGATAGCTAGAGTAAAGCACAATTTAATCATAAAATCTGGTCACCATCCCAAGCTCTACAGACTGAAAATTTAATTTAACAGATGCCATCCTTATCAGATCCTGTCAACGACGGCCACATACGATCAGCAGGAGGCTGATGTAAAGAACATCAATAATATTTTACATTTTACTGCACAGTGTTACAGCGCATAGAGACCTTATTATTATTATTATGCACTAAGTATATAAATGTCACTACATACATACATCCTTACTGTATTTAATCAGTAAGTTGAGTGAGCAGTGGGCAATGGAGGGAGGCAACTACCTACAGCATTGGAGTGATGTTTTGCCCTACCTGATGTGTACCGAATACTCAATACGTCCCCAACTACCTACAGCATTCGAAGTTTCTTTTACACAAATTTGATACCCACTCAGGGGTTTAGCCAGAAAAACGAAATAGGCCATCCAAAATGGGCGTGGCACTGAGCCGATGGGCGGGCCACACCCATCTTTGGGAATCCCCACCGAATAGTGTTATGAAAACAACGTACCTTCAATCAATAAATGTTGTTTTTATCAAACGTAAATATGGTTTAGCTTTAGTTTAATGCAACATTCGATAGATTTGAAGAATATAAAAAATTTGCTAAAAGTAGACCAGGCCCAATTAGGTTAGGCCAAGCTGATTAGGCCAAGCCGTCTCTGTAAAAGTGGCCTTCCTAAATAATTGTAGGCCATCCAAAAGACGGCCGGACGGCTCGCTGGCTAAGCCTATGTACCCACTCCTACTAAGGGTTGCAGTTGCTACATCCGAGTCTGCTCGTAGACTTGAGTGTACACAAATGGCTTATGTGCACTTTGAAGCACCTAGCCTTCAGGATGAGTACATAATATAAGCAAACGACACATAAGAAAGTTTCTAAACAAGTTTGTAAATTCCTGTGAGACATTCAGCTTAGGTAAGCTGTGAGCTAAAGGTTATTCACCTACTACTACCTCTAACAGCAACAACAATACAAGCATAAAATTTAATGTTACATTGTATGCACTACAATACTGAAATATTATCCTTTGTATCTTATTATGAAAGCTTTATGACCTACAGGATGAACTTATACAACAGGTCATAGCACAATAAAAAAAAATATAGTGTGACAACAATAGGTACTTTAGTAAGACAAGCATAAATAGTTGAAGTAAACAGATTTAAAAAGTACAAAATATACCTTAGATATGAGATCATCATGGTTTGCCAAATGTGCTCTGCAGTGTATGCAGGCATAGCGGCGATGACAAGTAGGTAAGTAAGCTTGGAATGTTTTGACCATCTTGTCGTCTTCAGTCACCTTTTATCCGATCAGACACTCACAGATGTAATGTCGATCTCTTGAAGTCTATGAGCTATTTTTTAAGCAAATCAAATGAAAATTTCAGAACATATATTTGTATTTGAAAGAGTTCTCCTTCATGAGTTTTGTACAATAATTATTTTGTTGCGTCTTTTCTTCCACCGTGGGAAGAGCTTCCTGGCATGAACCATTGGATGGTAGGCTCTATGTATCTCAACAAGTCTTCCTTTAATCTCTCCAAGTCTTTGCTATTAATGGTTCTATTAATTCCTTGGTTAAGAGCAAATAGCAGATTTCAATATATGTGACTGAAAGATACAATCAAACATTATATAAGGCAAATCATTTTAATAATTAACCACAATAGAATCATAACAACATATTTTAAAGTACTGTAAACTCTGCTACAATAATAAACAGTGAATCAAGTATAGTCAGTGATGTTTACATTATTAAAAAACTCTTCAGAGTGAAATTAACTGACAAAGTATAAGAAAAACATGAAATAACAAGGAAGGAAAGTTATAGAACTCTGCTTTCACTTTCTGTTACAAGTGGCAAAAAAAGACTTTTTAAATGGAAGGGTGGTTCCAAATTTCCAGGTCCTCTGTTTCTTACATCTGGAATGACTTCCATTGTATCCCAAGGAAACCAGTGAACAAACCAACGATAATCAGAGGAACAGTACCTCCATAACTAAAAAAGATCAACACAAGGAAAATTATTTCAACAGTGCTCAATATGCCATTAAAAAGTGTATGAACCAGGAAATTTTTATGCTTTTTATTCCTGATGCAAAGACCATTAGAAATATGTTTACAATTAAGGAATCTGATCCCACAGCTTTTTAATAAAATGTAAATATGGAATTTATTACCAGAATATTAGCTTAAAACGGGGAGGTTATAGTGGCATTGGCTATTTACAGTTTTCTAGTTAACATTCAGTAGCATAGGCCTACTTTGCAATTTACTTGTATCTGAATTAAACCAGATTGGCTTTCAAACAAGGTCTTAAAATGCTAAATAAGAAACACCAAAATCAACAAGATGATTCACATGAAGACTACGGTTTCTATGCTAGTGAATATAAGTCAGTGGTGGTTCTAGGTCTGGATAATACATTCAAGGGGGGAAGTTGTCAAACAAGGGGAATTCAATTTAACAATGACAAATAGTGGGCTGCAGTGCTCCATTCAGGGTCAAAGCTAATCTGGAAGCCCAGTAAAAACTGTTCAGTTTACTTTGCATTTATTGGGGCAATATTTCTCTTTATCTTTATAAATTGGATATAAATAATTCCAATGTGAAAGCTCCAACTTAGCAAAGGTTGTCTTATTTTTAGGCAAAGGGTGGATAATTTCTTACTAGAGAAGAATTATGCTCAAGGGTATGTAACTTACTGGTAGGGACAAGAAATTTATTAGCAACGGTTAAAACAAAGAAAAATTAAATATTTTTCTATTTGAAATTAACATTTAAAATGGGAAATTGTGGATGGGCACCTAGGGACCAATGGCTGCCATAATACATACCTAATTATTTGAACTATATTAAATATATTATTCATTTAAATATGGTTGCTATGTCCTAATTTTACTTGTACTCGCATGAAAGATGCAATTAATATCTTCTCATAATTTGAATAATAATTATATTATTAGCATTATCAACATTAATATTATTTTTATAATAATAATAATAATAATAATAAATATTTATATAGCGCCTAATGTTGATAACCTCTAGGCGCTTAACAACATAATTAATATTGTTATTTCCAATATCATTATCATTAAGATATGAAAATAATATAGAGGATGGGAGGTTAATAAAAACAAATCTTAATATAAACTTGCCTGGATATGGCCTTATATAAGGGTTCAAGGACTTCAGATCATAACAATGACTCACAAGTTCACCACAACTTGTACCATGTGATGTAAATCATTTGTAGGTCCAACAATCATAACACCCTATCTTATCAAAGCTGCCTAGGAACACAATCCAAACCAGCATATTCATTAGCAGCTTACAATGTTAAGGCATTAATGGCAATGAGCCAAAAACCCTATTTTAATACATTGTACAGTGTAATTCATCTAGTTCCCTTATTAAATAAAAATAAAAATCAGGAAATTATAAAGTGAAGTATGTGATTGTTTGTCAAACCCAATTTATTGAAATGCAAGTATTGTTTCTTAATAATATATTGTCCATATGCCAATATTATTAATTCTACCAGTTTATTTCCTATTTTTGTAGATTAAAAGGAATGGCAGAGGGGCAGTGGTCTTCTCTAGGTAACCCCAGCTTATCAAAGACAGGTAGCAGTATGTACAGTAACCAACAGTCATATTGCTTGTTTCTCACACAAATCATTACTATATTTCAGGAGTGTAATGAAGACTAATACATAATTAAATTGAATGATTGCTAAGTAAAATTATCACTAATACAAATTTTCTTTTTATGCTCTACAACACAACCAAAGTTTAAACATAGTTTAAATTGATCAATAATTCCATTCTAATATAAAAGTACAATTTATTGTACTACTGAGCAATTTTGATGTAGAAAAATTAAATCAATAAACGTTGCTATGGTTACTTAAAACTTGCGCAAACAACCCTAGTTTGTGTGAGACCTGCACAGGCTTGAGTTAGGCCTGGCTTGAGTGTTAAGAATGAACTTTAAAAGACATTTCTCCTAATTGGATTTTCTTGAGAGAGAAGGATGTAAGTCCATTATTATTCCATCATAAAAATGAAACCAATAAACACTATTAAAGGAATCATCCTTAGTTTTAACCTTTTTACTTCCTTGTGGGATTTGATATACTTTCTTTCTTTCTTTTTTTTCAATATTATTATTTAGACATGGTTTCATTTAGACTTCCTGTTTTAATTAGTTCTTGCCCAGACCACCACTCAATTACGTGTTGATTTGTAGACCACTTTATCTTAACGTAGCTCCCTGCACCAGACTTCTTAAAACACTATGAATAGCCCTCTTTGATCAAATTAATTTAAAACTTCCTATCTCAATATTTTTCATCTCAGGGAGTCTAAACAGGCCTTGTTTATTGCTATGTGGCTTTACTGGCCTTCAAATTAATGAATACTCTACAAACTAATTAAGTAATGGCAACAATCTATACTTACAGTATTCCAAGTTTCATTGACAAGTTTACAGTGTGTATTTAATATTTTAAAGGTCTGTTTATATAGCGCTGCTTTTTAATTTACACTTGACCATCATTTATTGAGTGATTTTGATTGAGAGTATTTGTAGAGTATTCATTAATTTGATTGAGTCTGTTCCAATAGACCGATTCAGTGATGTTTGTTTATAGCGGGTCACGTGAAATAAACTGTGTATACCATAAAAAACATTATAGTGCGATCAGTGTGAAAGTATAGGGAAAGGTAATGTTATGGTTTCGAAAACTACCACCCACTGTTAACACGAGAAATATATGGCAAGGAAAGGTAATACGATTGTTCAAAATAGTCTTTATTTACTTATTTTACCGTTAATTTAGCATTGTATGCTTTGAAATTTAAGTGATCCTTCGGAAACCTTGGACAGCCTTAAAATCGTCCTGTAATTCGCGAGTCAAAGACTCGTGCATACCTAAATAGGCCATAGATATGCAAGAGCCGAGGCCTAACATTTGTCAGAACATCTCAATGCTTGCGGCCAGTATCCTCTAGAGCGTTAGCAATCCATTAAGGAAAATTTTCAAGTTTAATTTTCAATCAATCTAGTATACCGTAAAACCTCTAATTGAAGCCCAGAAGCCCATCTTGAATTAAAGCCCACCTTTTCAGTTTGCAAAATTACACTTGAAAACAGGCTTCTTTTCAAGATAGCATGGCTTCTTTTCGAAATAGTACAGTACATACACTGTATATGAAATTCAAAGAAACAAAATAAATTAAATACATGTTTGGTTAATACAGTAGTTTAGGTGATTTAACACTCCATGATACTGATTGATGTTACAGTGTCCCTATTTATTGGTTTATAGTTCTAATTATCCATATTTACAGCATTCATTTTGAAAAGAAGCCCCCTCCCCTTTTCAATTTGCATAAGTGGCCTCAAAAAGAGGGCCATGTTTCCCCTTCAATTTAAGGTTTTAGGGTAGTTATATTTAGAATTATGATCTTTACAGCAATAACAAGGGAAGGCCGCAATAGCAATCTCCATGTAAAGCACCACTGTTCCAGTCCATGGTTTCCATCCAAAACCCAAGTCAGGTCATGTGACGCCCATCATCGAATCGGTCTATTCATGTGCAATGTATGTGTTTTTCTCATTTATGGTAATTTTTGCTATAGTATTTTGAAACTTTTCTTATTGTTAGGCCAGGTGCAGTGGGCAATGGCACTAACGTCTCATGTTGAGCTATTACCTCATGGTGTCCCTCTTGGCACCCACCTGGCAATGTGAAAATATAATAATAATATTACTGTGTCAAATAAATTAAAAGAATGTCCTATACAGACGAAGTTATATAAAATGATAGGGTCTATGATTATATTTAAATTTTACTGTATTATTATATATAAAAGTTGTTTTTATTTTTTAACTATAAATCACAAACTAAAACTGGTGAATGAAAAGTTATTTTAGTTTTGTGCTTCGCTAGTCCAGACATTATGAACAAAGGTAACCAAAGTAGTGATACCAAATGAGCCCTGGAACAAAGAAAGGTCATTATACGTTCACAACAGGTAAAATATTACACTCATTCAGTAATCCTACATGGGGCTAAACTACCAGCTAAACATAGAAGAAAGTTCCTGCACATAAGGAAGTCTGTTGGTATTGCCATCAGCTGTTTTCAATTTCAGACAAAGAGCATATTTTTGTCCTGACCACATGTCTCATTACCCCAAAATAAAATAACCAATCCAATTGAGCAATGGAATTGATTTTATCAATTATTCCTACAATGGACTTGCTCAATTTGTAACAAATTATATTCAAAGAATTACTTTTACTAAATAAACAGTGATTAATTTGTCCTAACAACATTTAATCTCATCCTGTTTGGGACAATTAAATTTTCTTTTTTTTCCTTTCAAAGTTATATGAAAATAAATTAATTTCCAATATGTAATTGATTTTACTGTGGAGGTTAGACTAACAAAGATGACCACATTATCCAATTAGCACAATCAAGTACCATAAACTAAATCTCTCTAGTTCCAGCAATTTATTTTTCCTTTTCAGTGAAACTAATTTAATAATTGATTCAAATCAAAGGACTGCTTTACTGGGTAGGATTGGAGCAACAAAGAACAATTATTGTACATTATTCTAACAGGAAAAACCATTTACTAAATTCACTCCAGTGTTAAAAATCTGGTTTTTTCCCTATCTCCTTTTCATGGGAGTCTCATAAACATCTACCAAAAATCTTAGACAAAGAAATTCCAATCTAGGTAGGCATACCACATGGCAACAGTCATGGTCTAAAAGGCATGTAACTATTAACCTAATAACAGCTTACAGTATGCAAATCTGTTTATTTAGATATTCTAAACATTATGATTCCTAGTCTTTTCCCTGTGATATAGGTGATAATGGCAATATTTTGAGGAGAAATGAAACAGAAATGAGTCACTATCCAATACTATCAATTTGTTGAGCATTATTTTTAAAATGTTCCCACACAGATGAACATCTTTTCATATTAACTCAATTAGAATTTGAAATATGTAGATAATTCTTGAATTCAAAAATAATTAATTATATTATTGTATTCTAATAATTAATTATGTCTGAAAAAAAATAGTGTAATAACATACAGTAGTAATACTTTTAGAGTTCATTGTCTTTGTGGCAAAAGTGTACACTTTTATCAGAACCAGTAAAATTTTTCCCAGACTCAGGCTCAAAATGTTTTTATTTTACATACCTTTAAAAGATAGAAAATTATTCTTGTACTGCAGTATATTACTATACTGTATTATAGTCATAACTGCAGTATACTGAAATGAAGAATGAAAATGAGGAGCAAATCCAAAACATACATACAATTTGCATGATCCAGGGACAGCACTCTATACCGAATACTGACAAATCTACGATAAGCAACCAAGAGTGGAATCAACGTCATTGAGGGATATTTCTGGAGTGTTTAGATGGTCCATCATTAGCTATTTTGAATGTACCTAGGCTGCTTTAAATAATGTGTACAATGTTATCCGGTATACTTGTAATGTTGTCATACAATAGCTTATCAAAATGTAATAAATAAACTTTTGTATGCATACTTCTTTTTCAAATTGGGTATACTGTATATAAAATATAAAATGTTTCAGTACTTCTGTATGGATTACTATTAGCGCTTCTAGGCCATAAGCCTAAATATTGAGTATATTTATTACACTGCAAACAATTATCATTTTCAGCAAATGAATGATTTAACATGTTCATGTTGGGGATGGAATGCAGGTGTGAAATTAGGGGATGAATTTATATTTATAAATTTAGCTAGAAGGCAAAGAAGTCGTATATAAATGTTAGTTACCATAAAGATACGATATGGATGTAACCCAGTCCTAAAATATAAAGCACCCTGTTTGCATATTCGCAAGCCTACATAATTATGTTCCTGCTGCTGCAATACTGAGTATGCCACCTCAGGACCAAGCTCAAACTCCGAGTGACAAGGCCTGAGTCGATAGCGCGCCATCCATCTATCGATCGTAAAAAACAATAGTTTTTTACATGCTTCAGACAATTCTACAGAAAAATAACACACACATATAAGTTTACAAGTAATATATCTACGAATACTTACAATAGTGTCAAGCAGATTTCGCATCCAGCAGGATATGCAGCAAAATATTTGGATCCTTCCATCGAGCACTAAATGTCACCTCTTACACTTGGCAGTTACCTCACTTACGTATGTTTTGACTGCATATGTTTAAGTCACGTGACAAACGATTGGATTCTGCTACGTCGTTTCTGGGTAAATGTTTTGATAACGTTTGTATAATTACACACATAAATACCCTGATTAAGAAAAGAATTCATCTACTAATGCACGTTAATTTACTTGCATTGATATTATAATGACAAATTTTAGCTATAAATTCATAAAATTGTAATTAAAAGGGTTATTGTTTGTTATAAAGTTTGCAGGATGTATTAATGGGATATCCTGACCTTTGACAACTGACGTTTGTTTTGATCAGTATGCAAATTAGCTATATTCGTAACACGTTTTCCTAGTATCCATCCAGTATCGTAAACAAACAGAAAAATAGCAAATCCCTTCTGTTAGTGGTCATTTCATTAAATTATTCGACCAACATTACAATACAAATACAATGACATGCCCTTATAGGACATTTGCCACCACAAGGAGGGATAACGTGCGTAATTCGGCAGGCGGGGATCTCCAAAAGGTACGCAAGGGATTTGATATCAATCTGTAGACATGGAGTTATATTATAATTATTTATAAATTTGATCTGTAAAATAACTCATGCCTATCTATTTTCATTAAGAATACAACATATCTTGGGTTTTCAATTAATACATACTGCATACAAATGTCTCTTCGTCGAAACATTGTAGTAAACATAATTAATATATAAAATCATTATTGAAGTTCATAAGTAATTGACACATTACATAATGGATAGGCTATTAATTAGAGTCCATCGGCGCCTTAATATCACAGACTAAGCCTAAGCCAGCTGATTGGCGCCGGAACCCATCTGACCTCATTCTCTTATCACTAATTTCATGGGTTTAATTTCATATCTATTTTTGTAAGAGAAAATTATGTAGGCCAAACCAATCACTTCAGTATGCCTCAACATGGTCTATATAAAAAGTAGAATGTATGATCTTAATAATTAATTCAGTCTGTGAAGATCATAATTATTAAAAAAAGGTATTAGAATAGGCCTATGATCTTAATCATTAAATGGTCTATGAAGATCATAGTGGAGGTTTTAGTGGCTGTTTGTAATTTTGGCAAAACTGTGGTTTAAAAAAATAATATCTTCCTCGTTGTTAACAAGTTCTCCACCTACTAAACAAATCTGTTGAAATGGTTGAATGGTTATTGAATGAAAAGAACCATTATAGTCTTTATTGAACAACTGGATACTGTCCTGTTTCAAAACGTACTCGCACGAATAGGCGCCCCGGCGCTTAAAAATATTTTTTGCACTTTCTGAGGGGCGCTTATTCAAACAGGGCGCTTATTCAACAGAGTCGAAATTGGGGGGACGCTTACGGAAATAGATGAAAATCGAGGGGTTCTTATGGCAACTTATTAAAACTAGCAGTTTCTAATAGAAAGTAAAATGCTGCGAGTATGCAATTCATGTAAATACTAATAGATACTTCTTCAGTACATAAGGGTACATGTACTGATTTTTAGTTTAGAGGCACTTTGAAAAAAATGAAAAAAGATTGGGCCCTATAATTATAAGGACATTACGAATGGGGGTGCGGCGGAAGAGATAATCGTCCAGAGAACATGGCTCATGACAAGAATGCTGTGAATATTTACATAACAGCAGAATAGCAGATGCAATTAGTGGTGGTGGTGGTGGGTAGTGATTAGCAGGATGGCAGGATCATTGCAGGTTTTCTTGAAAACTCAGATGACAATGCGCTGAAGGTGCAAATTGTCGGAAAAATAAAAAAAGAAGTAGGACTATGCCTAGACAAATAGGGGCCTATGTAAGAAGAAGAAAGTTGGAAATCTGTCTGTCCAGGGATGGATCGGAGCTCTCATCTGTCCAAGAGCAATATACTCATTTTGATATTGACCTAAGAAAAATGTGATTGCACTCTGCAGCTCAAATCATGCCAACAAGCACAGTCCTAGGATTTATTGGATTATTGACTTGCTATTTTGAGTCAAATATAGAGAAATCATTCACTTCCTTTTTCATAGGCCTATTGATATATTTGGTATTTCAGTCCGAAGTGAATGATTTCTCTATATTTGTTTAGTATCAGAATGATGATGTCCTGTACAGTGTTTAGTCGGGAAAAATCAGTATGTTTGTAACGTTTCCACTAAATTACCACAGGTATAGGCCGGGCCTGATCATGCTAGAATATATTTTTATTCAATGGGTGATACTGTTTTGTCTGGAGTTAGGCAACAAAGAGATCTTGGAATAATTGTTACACCGGATCTTACATTTACGACCCATATCTCTAAAGTACGGTAGCTGCTAAGGCAAACTCTACGGTTGGCCGTATTAAGAGAACCTTTACATATATGGACAAGGACATGTTTATTCCGCTTTATAAAACTTTAGTTAGGCCACTAATAGAGTATGCAGTTCAGGCTTGGTCGCCAAACTATAAAATGGATATTTTGGCCTTAGAGAAGGTACAAAACAGGCCGACTAAATTGGTTCCAGAACTTCGACATCTTTCTGTTGCTTCAAGAAAAAGTTCTTTGGGGTTATGGCCATTAAAAGAACGAAGAGACCGAGGAGATATGATTGAAGTTTTTAAGATTATTCATGGTTTTGAAAACATTGATTATAGTTTTTTTTACACTTTCACATACTCTACAAAGATTTCATAGTACTCGTGGTCATACATACTTATAAGATTCTAAAACCAAGACACAACACCATATTTCGGGACTCCTTTTTCGACACTAGAGTCATTGATAAATGGAACTGTCTACCCGAGCATGTTGTCAGTAGTATCTCATTAAACCAATTCAAAGTAAACTACGACCGACACATTCAAAACTTGAGAGGAGGCAATTTTTACGAGTGCTAACTCCCTGCCTCCTTACAATCACTAAGGTAAGAATCTACTGTGAAAACACTACATTTTGTTCGGGAGGTTGCCTGAAAGTCTGAATTCTGCAGAATTCGTGAAAGTGGCTGAGTTAAAGAAGAATGAGTGTAACCCACATTCTCCTTTCTTAACAGGGGCGGATCCAGAATTTTTCAAACAGGGGGAGGGGGGAGGGGAAGGGGCAAGGGTTACACCGACATTCTTCCAAACACGCATTCTCTGGATATTTGAATTGAACTGCAAGATTTTCTAATAAAGAAGTAAAAAAGTAAAAAGTGCTTCTTCTAATGAAAGTACTGTACACACATGGAAAGCTAGGGAACTACATAGGAGGCATGGCCTAAGCCTAAATTGTTTACAAACATTTTTATTGGATTTGTGTACTTCGGAAAACACCCCCACTCCTCAAAAATGTACTGTAAATATCCAACTTTTATCTCACAATAAAGGGGAAAATGTCTACAAATAAATTGCCTTATACCGTACAGTTAATTAATTTGACGTACCTACATAATACCACCTATTGTCGATCATACTTAGCTGCTCCGCCCAATACGCGCGAGTCATCCACCATTTGGCCTCCATGGTAATACCATGGTTACTACATCGCGTGTGGTATTTTAATACCGCACGCAGCAGGGTGGCCGCTGGATCTATTTTCTTGTAATTTACGTGTAAAAACACGGAAACGCACAAAAATTCCTCACTTAAAAAAGGTCGTGAAAGGCATTATCCTTTTTTCCAAAAATTAATGAAAGTAATTAAAAATTTCTTGAAAAGTTAAAGAAAACTTAGTACAAAAGGTGTATCTATCTCATTCAATTTCCTAATTTTACAAGAGCTATTATAAATGATTTTCATAAGTTCTGGGATTTTAAAATCACGGTTACGAAGAATGGTAAGATCCACATTATTATAGAGCAGAACTATTGAAGTTGAGGGCGCTATGCAATGATCATCAGTTGGGTATGAACATCAACATAAAAATAGGACTTCACATTAATAAGCTTTAACATTTCTAAGTATGAAAAAGTATATTGAAAATCTGAGTTCTAATCATGACTTGAAATGATATAAAAAATGAAACCAAGTTATCAATAATAAATTTTAATACTGTAATGGATTATCACACAATATCAGCTCTTTGTATCATCCTATCAAACACTCAGAGAATTACAGAATTGGCATTTTGTTATGCCTACAAAGGTATCGAAAAGGTAATGTTAGGATTTATAGGCCTATCACAATCGAAGTGCATCAAAATATTATTTAACCTCCTGGAGATTGGAAGGATAATTTTGTAAACATTCACAGCATACAACCTTCATATTCACAGTAAATAATAATAATGATGTTATATATTAATGCTTGCAGTACACCACATAGATAGTTCTGAAAAGAACTGCTGTGGTTGGTTGAAAATATCTTGACGTTTCGATTGAGTTCCTTCAATCAAGAATAATATTTGCGGAAATTCAAAAACAGGGAAATAATGATGTTTAAGTATAGCAAAAAATGTTTTGGTGGGCTTAGCATTAAAAACCATCAGAACAATTCCTAGTAATTGTAGTTTGATAGATAAAATATTTTTAAAGGAGCAATTCAATGCAACAATTAAATTGCTATTGCTTATTAAAAGTCATCAATTTCTAATGCAGTGGCATATCTAGGGAGAATAGGGAGGGGCACACACCATGTCCAAAGCAAAAACATCACGCTCAAGTAGTTAAAAATCACCTCATATTACCTTATTTTAGGACCTAGCTCCCCCTTACTAAATCTTCAAGCCCACTCTCCACTCCACCTTCACGTGTGCCCCTCCCCACTAACCATCAGCCCACCATTTCAAGACTCCTAGATACACCACTGTTCTAATTTGACAGAGATCAAAACAATTCAGATTTTGCTAACTTAATAAATGTTTACTGTAAAAAAAAATCCTTAAATTGATTACCAGCTCAATTTAAGGGCCTATGCAAAAATCATACTAATAGTTGAATTAGGTGAATAGCTCAGTGGTTAAGGTGCTTGCCTTCTGATCCTGGGTTCTGGGTTCATTTCCCGTCACAGCAGGACTTAATTATTTCATGATTATACAATATCAAATTTTATTCATGTTGAGCTAAAAAAATAAGGTTTATTTCTCACCAGTAGCTCAGTGACTTAATTATACAAAGTAATTAAAGTGAAGAGTATATCAATTAAGGCCAATTAAAAAAAACTTGTTTCTTATCGCTGCCTAATTCCTTTTTAGCTGCTGCCTTCCTTTTATATATAGTACATAACATTTTTGAACATTTGTTTCAGTAGTTTTCATATTTCTCTATCAGTACTTTGGCCCATGTAGATCAGAATCAGTGTTACAATCATATAGAAGAAAAATACTGCCAGAGACAGTCATGCTATTGGTCTACAACACAGACGGAAAGTGGCAGCCTTGACAGTTCTCTAAAAAATGCACACTCACATCTGGATGGCACCCCCAAATGTCCAGCACACTTGCAAGTCCTACTTCACCTCCTTTTGAAATATACCGTTCTATGTGTAAAAGTACAGCAAATTTGTTAAAATTGCCTAATGTCCACCTCCAACACATTTCATTGCGTCTTTCTCTCCAGTATCTTGTGACTTTGCAGACTGTTTTGAGAACTGTTCTGGTGTGAGTGTCTTCATGGTGAATGCATGGATTGATTCCATTTCATTGGCAATACAACTATTTACCATTCTGAATTGCGCAAATAAAAAAGAAAGTATCATGGTAAATAAAAAATGTAAAATGTTGTCAATACTGTACATCACAATAGCCATTACCACCATCAACACAACGAGCAACACAATAACCATTCTCACCTATGTTGTTGTAAAAGTGGTTTGCCTTCAAACTTTTTAGAAACAATGTATGCACTGAACTTCCCTCCGCAGCCATCTGACATATCATCAACATTCTAGAAGAAAAGTGAATGGCAGATTCGTATAATATAGTTTTTGGAGATGCACTGTACTGATGTCTGAATTGTACCCATATTGTAAGGTTTTTTAATTGCGCAGAGGATATCTAAAAAAATCAGCTCATATTTGCACAGAAAATTGCTAGGAGAATTTAAAATTGGTGTGTGGAATTGTAACTGCTGCATAAATACATTAAAAGATTTGTTTAAACCTAATATTTCCGAAATGCGTGGACGGATTTCTAGACCAAATGTTTGTGCGGATATATCCTCCCCACACAGGCCTTTCTATGCAGTGTGGTACTGTAGTACTTAGACTATGCACAATATTATTAATATTATTATACTATTTACTATCTAGGCCCATTTTAATAATTATTATCACTATAAAGGCCTTTCCATTTCATTTCATTTATTTTGTCCAAAAAACATTAAAATTGACAAACACCGGAGATGATTGCCAAAAAGTGAACTGAATCACTGTCTAGTGGCTCTCCGATGCCAATGAGATCATAAATTAAATTAGCATAAAATATTCAAGTAAAATAAGCCAATCAATAAAATTTAAATTGAAAATATATATGTACAAAATCATCAGTAAAATCGGTCAAAATACAATAAAATTTTAAAAAGAAGAAATTTGCAGCGAGAAACAAAAGTTAAAAAGTTTGTTTTACAATGGTAAAATTTGAGACGATAAATTAAAATAGACTTATTGCTTAGCATAAAATAGTTTTAAAATTCTGATAAAAGAATTGAGTATAAATTATTGACATTTTGCAACAAAAGCCAAGCAGATATCGAAACGGATTTCAACAGATGTTAATCGTGTGATAACAAGCAATTGTGTGTATGGGATATCACACGAGACACACGCCCTTGTCATTCTGCGTTGGATTGCTTCAAGAGATGTATGACCTCTTTGGTGGGCAGACTAAGCAGGTAGGGCCTACAGTACACCATATTCAATTATTGGACGGACTAGGCCTAATCCGTTGTACAATTTTGATATAATATATGGGTCACGGTAGCAGACTGTTGGCTACCGTGATAACTATGGCCAAGATAACTATATCTGACCTAAGTTGACCTGTGCAATAAATATAGACCAGGGGCAGATTGCTTATAAACGGTCTTAACTGGCAGTCTTAACTCCTCGAGTAAAGCCGGCTTTATCACTTAGACGGTCTTACTAAAGTCATTCCTCTAAGAACATTGCTATAAAACAGTCTTCCCTAAGACCGCTTTGAGTATTGAAACGCGAACAAGCACTCCCTGGTAACGTAAGATTGGGAGCGACGTCATGCGTTCTCGATGCACGCAAATGTATCGAAATGAACGTAAATAAACATAGACCTATTTTTACAGACGCTATAAGCGTGCGAAATATTCGTCGTTCAGTTCTCCGACTCTGACGATCTAGGCCTAGGTCTTGCCATTGCACTGTTGAAATTATCAGATCAGCAGAATGCCATGATCAAAATTATTTAAGACCGTTTTAAGCCTCCTTTGAGAGGCTTTAAAATTTAAGACGGCTAACTGGTTAGACCGTGGTACAGCAATGGTCTATAATCATAGACCAGTAGTGACGTCACGATTATAGCCGGCTAACCGTTAAGCCCGTCTAAAGACCACTTATAGCAATCCGCCCAAGGCCTATTCGGGGATGCTCCTTATTCCTAGGATTCCAGGCAGGCAGTTCTCTGACTATTGATGTACGGCCTTGCTACGTCTATCTAGCCTAGGCTGAAAACATAAAATAAATACTCGGACGGACTGTAATCATACAGCTGAGCAACCTGATCAAATGAAAAATATAAAAATATTAACTATTAGTTGTTTATTATATATATAACGAACCACATATTCAGCTTCAAGTTCTTTTTTTAGCTTTTCAGCCAACAATTCAGCAGAAACTGCCATGCCTCTCTCTCTCCCTCTTGCCGTAATTTACAACTTAGGTAATGGTTAATTCGCGTCAACTTTTGGTATTTCGCGTCAACTTATAGTAATTCGCTTATGGTATGGAAAACCTATGGTAATCCTATGCATGCAACGACCAGGTCAATATTAATTTGGCCAAATACAGTAACATTAATTTGATTATTGCCAGTCGCTAATATTTGGGTCTAAAAGAACAATTTTGGCACCACACTAAGCCATGAAAACTCTCGCTATATACCTAACCAGGGATTTTATTGTGGCCCTTCACCGATGGTCCACCACTGTCCCAGGGTTCTGCATTCAACCAATATATGTTCTCACTCTTTCCGCAACCTTTCCTATGTAGCCAGTTAAACTGATCAATGGTGGGAATAAAATAGAAATCATAGAAAGCTCAATTTGAGAAGTAAAGCATTTATTCAATACATATTTCAAAATTTACAGTGAAAAGGGAAATAACTGTCCTCTTTTAATCTTTCTTCTAACATTCTATTCGTCCATTCTTTCAAATGACAGAAAATTACATATGAAACAATCTACAAAAAATCGTTCTCCTTCTATGAAGAAATATGAACTGCCCATTGACTTGTTGATGTTATGTTGATAGTGACAATTTTAGGCCACAATAGGTCAACCTGTTTTTTTTTTTTTTTTGGTGCATTTCTGTAAACATATTTATGGCAAAATAAATGATGATATATGGTAGCATACTCTATACCATAGATGGTATGAAATATAATGACATTACCATTGCATTTCCTGTAAGACATAATAGAAATTAATCTCCAATAGCGCCCCTAAATATTCAGTTTAAAAAAAAATTGTGACTGAAACATGACAATTACTAAAGCATTTTATGTGAGGTTTCAAGTTATTTATTGAATATAACTACTATATTCAAAGACTACAGAAAGCAAAAAAACCTAGAGCCGATACAACAGAGCACACCAACACTACCATTACATACAGTAACACTAAGGACAGCAGATGGACATACCAAGAGTGTATGAAGATACTGTAGCAATGCATTGCAGAGTATTAATGCCCACCTCAAGAAAGTTCAAAGTTCATATTATTAGTCAGTGATGTCATCGTGATTGGCTGAAATACCCACTTTGCTATGATGATATAACAATGGATGTACAACTGTCATCTACTACTGTGATCAAGGACTTTCAACTTTTGTCATTTATAAGAGTTAAAGTTGAAATAAGGACTTGATTGTAACAGTAATTATTAGCACCCACCCAGATTTTACAATACTGTAACTTCAATTGATAACTGTTTAAATCTTCACTGTACCAAAGATATGTGGGACCACAGTTACAGTGAAGCCATCAGTTGTTTGCAACAAGAACCAATTTCAAAAGCACCAACTAAGGCTAAGTAAAAAATATAATTAGTTTCTCATCTCGAACTTTTTTAAAAGTGGTAAAAGTATTCCTTTTCTTTATTATTTTTTTTAATACAGTATAGAATAACAGCTGTCAGATGTTCCAGATCAATTCATTTTACTGGTAACGTTGTTTAGTTGAATCTGATCAACACAAACCATACAGTATAGAATATAGTATTTTTTTAAAAATCCATAAAACAAAGGGATATTTTTTACAAAAAATAGCAGTAAAATGGTGCATGTTACCATTTTATTAACATTTTGTAAATAAAAATGAAATGGGAGCACAAAAAGAAAAGGATGAGAAACAGATATATTTTTCCACTTGGCCCAAATATTTTACTTACAAAATCAATTGATATTATGATGTTTACTTTATGCAAGTGGTTTAAAAAAATCTGCCCAATTGTAACTGCTGTCTTGAAAACTTCCAAGATCCAATAACTACTGTAGCAGTACTTTGTTTTGAAGTTACACCTTGACCAACATATAAAGCGAGAAACCCCTAAGCATGTGTCAGCTGGCTCATACATGACCAGTTTATACTTGTGCAGAGTACTACAAACATCTAATCTAGACTTGTGGGACCCACAGGGTCCTCACCCATCAAACCAAGGGCCATGATCCAAATTCTGTCCCCAGTGGTCTGCCTACAACTACAGTAATATAATCTTTATATATGTAGAATCTTATATATTGCAGAATCTGCATTTAAAAAACAAACAACGCAATCACCAGGCATGACAAATAAATTGTATTATACTACAAATATGGACAAATACAATGGTGTACAAAATGATAACAAATACACATTTGTATTGTATACTCAACAAGTTCAACATCTTCCTCTCTGTGCATTAAATTGATAGTTATGCATTCTAATGTTTTAAACATCTTTGCATCAAAATATTCCTAAAAATTAATCAGAAATTAATTCATTATAAATCAGGTAGATTTTTTGATTAATTAGGTAATCAATTAAAATTTGAATAATTATTGATACTTGGTCCTCTGTCGAGATCAACAAACACAACCAAATGTTATAAATTCTATAGATTCATGGCAATATATTATGTAGAGGTAATCAATATTTTTCACCAATGATTTGTATTGAAATTAGTTTCTAACTTTTTCACATCTAGTTTATCAACATACCATTCAAATGAATTGGTACAATAATCTACGCACTGTCCAAATAACAATTCATCTTCTCTTTATTTTTACCCACTTTGAAACTATTAACATTCACAATTCCAACATTCTTTTTTTTTTTTATTATAAAACACAAAAGACAACAGAATATATATATAGACAGACAATGTGGCTAGGTGACAATAGTCTCCATGGCAATTGGTAGGAGGAAACAATGTCTCCATGGCAATTGGTAAGAGAAAACAATGTCTCCATGACAGCTGATTGGTGACATCAGTCATTCTTCATGACAAGAATCAGCCTCCAGGACTGCTGCTTGGTCGCATAACGATGACATAATTCAATGTCAATGACCAATGATAAATAACAATATCAGTCTCCTTGTCCAGTAATTGGTGAACGAATGAATCCATGGATAAAATGCATAAGAGGGCCCTTTATTTCACATAATTCTTACTAAAAGAAACATGACCATTTTTAAAAACCTTCATATAGAATACAAGTGAATAAATCTTTTTTTTTTGTCACTGTGTGCTTAACAAAATATAACAAATATTTACATAATGTCAAAACTATAGAAATTGGAAACATAAAAACATACTTTTTTTCTCTTAATATCATGGAATCGAAACCACGCCTCTGCATCTTCAGGCACTATTTAAATTTGTTTCATCAACATGATTACATAATCGATAGTCCTTAATTAAAATTCTAATCATTACATGATCTAAGATAGACGCTCAGTAAATGTTCTAAATTTTGTTCAAGAAAACCAGTCCAAGAACTGTTAACTTTGTTTGAGTATAAAAAGATTTGATGACAAACTCATTATCAATGTTTCATATTGATGTTTAAGCAAACATCCCAACACATATTTCATTACACTTGATCAGTTTTGAATACATATTTTAAGTTGCCAAGCGCAACATTGGAATCAAGCCGGCTTTATCAAATACTTTCTTTCCGAAAGAAAATATCTACAAACATGGAAGCGGCAAAGATAATGACAATATCTTAACATTAATCAGATTCTAATAATTTAAAGAAAAACATCAAAATTGTATAAAATATACAATTTATATACTTAATTGATTCACTGAGTTATATAGATTTTGAAATAACAATAAGATATTTCTTAAAACTAATTTATTTCATTTTAAAAATTAGAATCTGCTTCTTGTCAAAGAATAGAGCTAACCACTTAAGGTCTGTCCACACACTATCAAATTGTATGTGACAAAAAATGCAACATGCCCATATTTGGGTGTAATATGACATCATTACCATATATGGGCACATCAAATAAATTTAATAGTGCGGACAAAGCTTTAGATACATATTATTATTAATGTTAATTAGCTGCAATCCAGGTCATGACTCATTAACAACGGTGATCATAACATGAAATGCATTTCAACATAAATGAAATTATGCATGAGCGAGTATTGCGTATGCCGCTACTACCAAATTCAAAATTTACGCCCTACTAACACTGAAATGCATTTCACAATGCATGAAGTTGTGATCACAAATGCATCGGAAAGCAGCAGTCTTGGTGTCGTCAAAAACATAAAAACATCAAGTATCTGAAGCCTACAGGAAGCCCCGTCATGTTGCTTGATAAATCAGTAAGTGAAAATTAACCATCTGTTTTTATCAATACAATAATTTCAATTATGATTTTTGCTACTTCAGGGAGTAAAATAAATTATATTCATCTAAAAATTTGAAAATTTCAGTCATGATTTTTGCTGCCTCAAAGAGTAAAATTTAATGGCCACAGAATCTACAAATTTTTATACATGATTTTTTTTCTTGCGTACAGGTACTATTTGAATTTAATGTTTTGTTAA